ACATGCGCGCATGAGTGCACATGCGCGCATGAGTGCACATGCGCGCATGAGTGCACATGCGCGCATGAGTGCACATGCGCGCATGAGTGCACATGCGCGCATGAGTGCACATGCGCGCATGAGTGCACATGCGCGCATGAGTGCACATGCGCGCATGAGTGCACATGCGCGCATGAGTGCACATGCGCGCATGAGTGCACATGCGCGCATGAGTGCACATGCGCGCATGAGTGCACATGCGCGCATGAGTGCACATGCGCGCATGAGTGCACATGCGCGCATGAGTGCACATGCGCGCATGAGTGCACATGCGTGCACAGCGCATGAGTGCACATGCGCGCATGAGTGCACATGCGCGCATGAGTGCACATGCGCGCATGAGTGCACATGCGCGCATGAGTGCACATGCGCGCATGAGTGCACATGCGCGCATGAGTGCACATGCGCGCATGAGTGCACAGACGCATGAGTGCACATGCGCGCATGAGTGCACAGACGCATGAGTGCACATGCGCGCATGAGTGCACAGACGCATGAGTGCACATGCGCGCATGAGTGCACAGACGCATGAGTGCACATGCGCGCATGAGTGCACAGACGCATGAGTGCACATGCGCGCATGAGTGCACAGACGCATGAGTGCACTGCACATGCGCGCATGAGTGCACAGACGCATGAGTGCACATGCGCGCATGAGTGCACAGACGCATGAGTGCACATGCGCGCATGAGTGCACAGACGCATGAGTGCACAGACGCATGAGTGCACAGACGCATGAGTGCACATGCGCGCATGAGTGCACAGACGCATGAGTGCACATGCGCGCATGAGTGCACAGACGCATGAGTGCACATGCGCGCATGAGTGCACAGACGCATGAGTGCACATGCGCGCATGAGTGCACAGACGCATGAGTGCACATGCGCGCATGAGTGCACAGACGCATGAGTGCACATGCGCGCATGAGTGCACAGACGCATGAGTGCACATGCGCGCATGAGTGCACAGACGCATGAGTGCACAGACGCATGAGTGCACAGACGCATGAGTGCACAGACGCATGAGTGCACAGACGCATGAGTGCACAGACGCATGAGTGCACAGACGCATGAGTGCACATGCGCGCATGAGTGCACAGACGCATGAGTGCACATGCGCGCATGAGTGCACAGACGCATGAGTGCACATGCGCGCATGAGTGCACAGACGCATGAGTGCACATGCGCGCATGAGTGCACAGACGCATGAGTGCACAGACGCATGAGTGCACAGACGCATGAGTGCACAGACGCATGAGTGCACAGACGCATGAGTGCACAGACGCATGAGTGCACAGACGCATGAGTGCACAGACGCATGAGTGCACAGACGCATGAGTGCACAGACGCATGAGTGCACAGACGCATGAGTGCACAGACGCATGAGTGCACAGACGCATGAGTGCACAGACGCATGAGTGCATGATGAATGAGTGCATGATGAATGAGTGCATGAGTGCATGATGAATGAGTGCATGCGTGCATGAGTGCATGAGTGCATGATGAATGAGTGCATGCGTGCATGAGTGCATGAGTGCATGATGAATGAGTGCATGCGTGCATGAGTGCATGAGTGCATGATGAATGAGTGCATGCGTGCATGAGTGCATGAGTGCATGATGAATGAGTGCATGCGTGCATGAGTGCATGAGTGCATGAGTGTAGAAGTGCATGCGTGTATAAGTGCATGAGTGCGCGTACCAAAATGCAGGGCGTGGCCGTAGCGAGCAGCTCAGAGCACGTGACAGCACCGGCACGTGCCACCACCACATCTGCTGCTGCATATGCCAGCTCCATGCGATCCACAAACCTGCCTCGATCCGTCATGGGGTATGGTTATCGAGAGGGCATGGGAGGGGTGCGGGGATGGAGGGGTGTGAGGGGAAGGAGAGAACGGAGACGAGGGTCACGTACCGCCACCACCACATCTGCTGCTGCATATGCCAGCTCCATGCGATCCACAAACCTGCCTCCACTCACCATGGGGTATGGTTGCAGAGGGGGAATGCGGAGGGTGGCGGGGCGAGGGGTGTGAGGGGAAGGAGGGGGGAGAGGAGGAAAGGTGTGAGGAAACGGAGATGGGTGAGGGGAAGGGGAGGGGGGGGGGGGGGTGGGGGAGGGGGTGTGGGGAAGGAGAGGGGTGAGGGGATGGGGGAAAGTGGAAACGGGAGAGAATGGGAGACAGGTGGGGAGACGCAGAGAGGAAGGGAGGAACGCACGGCAACACGAGGAGACGAGCATGTGGAGCAGAAAGAGTGAGACATGCATGGAGAGGAGGATGAGAAGAGATCAGAAGAAGAGAGGAGCTAGGGACTCTTGCCAACACCAGAGGCATGCGTGTCAGTACACATCAGCGAAGCAGCAACGCAAGAGAGGGGCGGGAGGTAGCCGACAAGGAAAACAAGGTGGAGAGTGGATGCAGTTGACATGGAGAGGAGATAACAGCAATGTCAACTGCATGATGGGGCATCGGAGCAAGCGACTATTGAGAAGAGACCTGACAACATGATGGCACAATCTCAGACATCCCTCACCTAACCTGTGATCGTGAGTACTGTTGGTAAGAGCGAAGGAAGGAGGAGAAAAGAGCGAGGGAAGGAGGAGAAGGGAGAGAGGGAAGCAGGAAAAGAGACCTCACGGCAAGAGAGAAACGCGGGGATGTGACGCAAGAGGAAGAGCTCTCATCTCCCCCACATGCCGTGCTCCCGCCTGCCATATCACCAACACCTCCCCACCATTGTGCACACCATCCAACCCTTCAGCACCGCACTCCACACCGCCGGACCCATCAAGTAGCTGCTGCAGCGTGCCTGCGACGGCTGTGTTGATGGGTTGTGCTCCCAGCGAGCCCCCCAGCACCAGCACCACCTGTGTTCTCCGCCCCACTCCTCCTGCTGCTCCTCCTGCTGCTGCTCCTCCCACCGTTCCTCCTGCTGTTCCTGTTGCAGCTGCACCAGCAGCAACGCCATCAGCACCAGCAGCGGCAGCAGCTGCTGCGGCATGTGGAAAGAAGTACCTGATCGCTTCTTCCCGCTTCTCTTCCCGCTCTTCCCTCACGGATCGCAGTACGGCGCGCGTGGGGTTCCCTGCCACGTGGCAGCGCCGGGTTGGAAAGAACCTCTGGGCAACGGCGAAGGCGACGAAAACGACGCTCGCGAAGCGGCCAAGCAGGCGATTGGCGATTCCCGCGAAAGCGTTCTGCTCTTGTAACACGAGAGGTATGCGACAGATAGCGGCGGCTAGACAAGTCGGCGCGGATACGTACCCTCCCGTGCCTACTACGATATCGGGCTTTAATCGCCAGATTAAGAGGAGGCAAACGCAGAACGCGCGGAGGAAACGGAACGGTACGAGGAGATTGGAGAGGGTGGTGAGGAGCGGCCGACGGATACTGACGGCTGGGATTGGATGGATCGTGTAGCCTGCACGCGGGACAGCCGTCCATTCCATTCTCTCCTTGGTTCCGACGAAGTTGATCTCGGCCGTTGGATCGCGGGATCGGACGGCGTCCGCGATGGCGATGGCAGGGTACACGTGGCCGCCCGTGCCGCCGGCGGCAAAGAGGATCGAGATCCGCGGGGGTGAATCTGACGTGTCGGGTGGTGCTACAACCGAGGGCGATCCTCCCGCAGAGCATGTGACTGTAACGGAGGAACGTCCTCTGCTACCACCGCTGGTATTGTTAACCCGCGAAGACTCCCTTGAACTAATTTCATCCCGTTTAAAGCTCCCGCTTTGGGGACACCTACCAGGAGCAGCAGAGGCGATCCTTCCGCTTCTACTGCCGCCCATGGGGCGTGCAAATGCCGACGATCCCCGGCTTATCGGCGCGATCACACCCCCTGGCCCGCCAGGGCGCACACTCCTGCCCCCGTAGCACCCGCCTCCGCTCACACCGGCGTCCGATCTCCGCAGCAGCGTCGCGCGCGGAACAGCGGAAGCGGACGCGGCGGGCAAAAGCGCGCGCCTATGCGCGAATGCGGTCGCGGTGCTTCCGTCGTGAACGGGATTTGCTGAGGCGGGGAGGAGGAGCGCCGAGGCTCGAATCATGGTTTCCTTTCACCCAGGAACCATACGGGAGCATCGACTCGGTGCGGAGCCACGTAGTAGATTCCTACTGACGGGGCTCGAGGGTGGAATATGGGGCGAGGCCCGCTTGCGCAATAATAATGGATTTCTGGGAGAACGGGTTGCAGCGCTGACCTGGTTCTGAAACGCGAGCAGGTAACCAAACTCGTCGAAAGTAAGGGTGCGTTCCTGTGGAGACACTTGTGTCTCAATCCTTTTGTGACGCGTAAAACCAGCGACTTTTAATGTATTTTTCATTTGTCAGCGTGAAACGCGCTGACGTCGCGGACGAGTTGCGTATCGACCCGTCATTGTCAACAATTCTGTACGCGGTTCGAAATGTCAATGCACCTGGACATTCCATAGTAAAAATCTCGCGCGGGAAAAAGTTCCGCTCGTCAAAACACCACCCGAACCAGACAGTTGAAGAAGCAGGTGTTCAGTCAAGTTTGAAATCCAATCAAATGAGCACAGCTGTAAATTTCGCCTGGTCGCACAGTTTCGTGATACACTCATTTTTTGTGACGCGAGATTGCAAAAATGTGTAGACGCGACTCGGAAAAAAGGGGATTGAGACACAAGTGTCTCCACAGGAACACCCCTAAGTTTGCTCATGGCCAACTGCGACGGAATCGGAATCCGATTTTCGCTTTTCGGCCAAGCTCATCCATGCTTTTGCTTTGGGCTGCCAGTCAGAAAGGTACCGTAATAGGCCATCACGAAAGCGATTTGCACTCAACCTTCCAAAACGAAGATCCATAAGCAAAGAAAAGAACATAAACATACTGTGTTCATTCAAATGTCGCCAATCCATCTACTTTACACCCTATCTCTACCACGTCCCATGTTCCCCTTTAAGTCGAATACAATCCAGCACACGCGCTTCCCTCAACTGCGGAGCATACTGTAACGAGCGCGGCAGGCGAGCCAGGTTGCAACAGCCATTGATTGTCAATTTCTGCAGGCTCGGCCAATCCGTAAGCTCCCCGTGTTGCAACAGATAGTGCCACACACACTCATGATCGGCATGTGCCCCCCTCTCCGGTAAAACTTCTTCCTGTTCTCCTTCCTCCATGCACCCCCCGTGTTGTGCTCTTCGCCCATCCCCCCTCAGTTCTGATCCTCCAGCCTCCTCATCTTCCCTGCTTCTCTCACTTCCCCCCTCTTCTGATTCATCATCTCCACTCTCTCCCCCACTCTCAGAACCGTCACTCTCCTCCTCATCCGCACCATCACCCCCCACCCCTCGCTCCATGCCCGCAGCAGCATTAACATCATCATCAGACGCAGCATCATTATAATTAACATCATCATCACCAGCAGCACCAGCATCGGTGTGATAGGAGGACGGGATCGAGCGCAGCTGTTGCAGATCGAACAGGTGGAGAGAAGTGAGATGGGGCAACAGTGGGAGGCACGAGGGGAGCGAGACCAGCTTCAGGAAGCGCAGAACAATGGAGCGAATCGGGAAACGAGAGCCCGTGGAGGGGAAAGAACGGGGATTGTGAGGTGGGAGCGAGGGGGACGTGGAGGAGCAGGAGGGTGGAGTGGCGGACTGGCAGGGGGAAGAGGATTCGGGAGACAGGGAGGAGGATGTAGGGACAGGGGGGGAAGGGATGGAGGTGAGAGAACTGAGGGCGTTCAGTTCAAGGTGTGTGAGGGACGGGAAGAGGAGGAGCGTCGGGGGGAGGGAGGAAATGGCATGGCAACCTTGAAGTGTGAGTTCCTGAAGGGAGGGCAGGTGGTGCATGTGTGAGGGGAGGGAGGAGAGGAGGGGGAGGGATTGCAGAGTGAGATGGGAGAGGTGGAGGAGGAGGGTGAGGGAGGGAGGCAACTGGGAGAGGTGGGAATTGTTGGAGAGAACTAGGTGTTGCAGCGATCGCAGCAGCACCCCACTGCTGGGTGAAGTGGGGATGGGTGCTGTGGGGAGAGGTGCTGTGGGGAGAGGTGTCGTGGGGATCGGTGTCGTGGGGATGGGTGCTATGGGGATGGGTGCTGTGGGGATCGGTGCCGTGGTGAAAGTTCCAGGCAAACCAGTTTTGACACCCTCCCTACTCGTGGCATCGCTACTTGTGACAGCCCCACTTGTGATAGCCCCCTGTTCCCTGTCTTCTGCTGCTGCTGCTGCCGCCGCCGCTGCTGCTGCTGCTGCTGCTGCTGCTGCTGCTGCTGCTGCTGCTGCTGCTGCTGCTGCTGCTGCTGCTGCTGCTGCTGCTGCTGCTGCTGCTGCTGTTTCTTCTCCTTCTACCCCTCCCACCGGTCCCTTCTCACGGTCAGAGTGACTGCCATCCAGCACAGAATCACACTCCAAGGGCAGCTCTGTGATGCCGGTGCCGGAGAGAGTGAGGGTGTGGAGAGAGGGGAGGTGCGGGAGAGAGGTCGGCAGGTGGTGCAGCACGGGACAGTCTGAGATAGAGAGTGTGTGAAGGGAGGTTAAGCGGGAGAAGTTCGGAGGAAGGGAGGAGAGCAAGAGGCACGAGTTGAGGTGGAAAACGCGAAGGGAGGGAAGGAGGGGGAGTGAGTGAGGGAGAGACAGAAGCCTCTTGCAATGAATCTTAAGCTCTTGCAAGGAGGAGAGGGAACTGAGGGAGGAGGGGAGCGAGGAGAGGAAAGGGCAGTCGTCAATGTGGAGGAGAGTGAGGGAGGGAAGGGAGGGGAGTGAGGGTGGGAGATGCGTGAGTGAAGAACAGTTCTTAATTTCTAGCGTGTGGAGGGAAGAGAGGGAGGAAATGTCTTCTGGAAGCAAAGAGAGGCAAGAGAAGGAGGCGAGGGAGAGGAACTCAAGGGAGGCAAGCTGGGGGAGCGAGGGAGGTAGCGCCTTGAGACGTGGTTGATTCTCCATAATGCTATTGTACTCCATTAAACGGAGCTTCTTCAAACAGGGTAAATGGTGGCCGAAGTCAGGGGGGAGGGAGGAGAGAACAGGGTGCTTCATGTTGGTTATTGTTAGCTGCTCCAAGGACGGCTGGTGGAAGAGAGAGGGGGGAAACCACGAGAGAGAGTCGCAACGGTGGAGAGAGAGGAGGGTGAGGTGGCTCAAGCGAGAGAGTGAGGAGGGGAGAAAGGAGAGGAGGACGAGGTCGGATAGTTGGAGGGATCTGAGAGAGGAGAGGAGGCCAAGCGCGGATGGGAGGCGAGAGAGAGAGCTGCAGTCGTTGATGGTCAGTTGGGTGAGGGAGGAGAGGGAGGAGAAGGCAGCAGGTAGGCGCTCCAGCAAATGGCATTGCTGTATGGTTAGCTCCTCGAGACTTTCAAGCTGACCGAAATTCTCGGGCAGCGTAATCAGATCATTGCAGTCCGTGATGGTGAGGCGGCGGAGGGAGTAGAGGCCAGAGAGGGACGACGGCAATTCCTGTAGCTGAACAAAGTTACTAATGAAGAGTTCTTGTAATGAGTGGAGGTCCCCAATAGAGTCTGGAAATTCGGTGCAGGACGGGAGGTCGGAGAGTTGGAGGGAAGCGAGAGAGGAGAGGGAAGCGAGAGAGTCAGGAAGGGAGTAGAGGAGGGGGATGTTGTCGAGAGTGAGGGAGGTGAGGGAAGAGAGAATGCTGATGGAGGGGGGGAGGAGACGGAGGGAGGAGCAGGAGACGAGGCTGAGGCGAGTGAGGGAGGAGAGGAGGGTGATGGAGTCCGGGAGTGACTTTAATGAAGGGCACTGTAGGTGCAGATGGCGGAGAGAGAGGGGGAGTGCCAAGCGGTGGAGGTCGGTTTGCTTGGTCGTGGTGGTTCCCGTGGTAGCTGAGGGAGAGGCTGTGCTAGCAGGAGGAGTGAGGAAACTAGGGGGTGTGAGGGAATTAGGGCTGGTGAGGGGATTGGAAAATGAGAGAGGACAGAACGGCGGAGGGAGAGTGAGGGAGGTCAGGGAGGAGCATTTCAGCAGCAGCTGTTCCAGGCACCCATGGCTAGCAAACGCTTGTGGTAACCACATAACGTTTCCCAAACATTCTTCCAAGTGTAACTCCTTTAGCTTCGGCAATAAGCTGATTAGCAACTGAATATCCCCGTTCTTGACGTACGGAGCAGAAATCGACTCCATACAGAAATATCTTCGTCCTACGACTGGAATAGTATACGCCGCCGTCCGCCTTGGTTCCTCCAAACTGCTTCGAAAACCGAACATAACTTTCCTTTGGCCAAGGCGAAGGCTGGTCAGTCCCGGACAATGCGCCGAAAGATCCGTGAAGAACGGCGGGGGATGAACGCGAGAGCGCGATCAGGCGCGGAGATCGCCGTGAGGTGCGGGAAGCGCGCGGACGCGGATAGCAGCGCACGCGCGGAGAGACACCGGTCGGGGGGAAGGCGGATGGCGGACTGCAGGCGCAGCGCGAGGAGGAACCATCGGCGACAGACCAAAGCGTGCGAAAAGCTTGAGCCGTCCGATGCGATTTCGCGAAGGATCAAGCAGAGAATGTCGTCGGAGAGAAAATCGATCAGCGGTCGTTGATCGGCGGCGTGGACAGCGTTATCAGGAGCCATGAGATTGGACGGTGGAGATTTATATATGTAGGTCCTTTAGACCAGTGCACCCTGCCTTCGAAAATTGTGCTAGCGGGCGCATACGGGCGAAACAGGCGAACGCAGGTAACCGCCAGCTGCGGGAATTGACGGTCAGAATTGGACGTCACCAGGAGGCGATGAAACTTGAGGTTGTGTGTGACCGTCAGGTCCTCGACTCGTTCGCAAACCGAAGTCCTCGAAAACTCAAAACCAGTTTGCCCGTGGCAAGGTTTCGCCTGCAGCTCTGCCTGCCTTTGAAATGTCCGCATGATACCAATAGGCCATCCTCGGTTTGGTGCATCCAGAAGTGGCCTAGTCAGTAGAAAGAGGTTCTTCCGATAGATGAGGTCCTGGGATCTAACCCACCCCCGTGCAGGCGTGTTCTACCAGGCCCCAAGAAGGGTCAGCACATGCTCATCTAGGCGCTGTTCTGTAGGCGTTAGAATTCCAAAAACTGGATCCGCAGAATCTTCGTTGATAAGAGGTCTTCTGCCTATCAAGGTTTGGTGATAAGAAATGTCCTGCCGAACCTGTTTGCGCCAAATTCAACGCATCAGCCTGCAGAACGCCACTTTTGGGGCGCACAAATTTAACCGTCTGCAGGTTCGAAGTTGTTGCTTCGCCGGGCAAATGGCCACACAACTAGTGCGGTGCTAATTCTACCTCGGGAGCTAGCATCAGCCTCCGCACATGTTATGCGAGGCAGCAACATCCGCGCAACGCAACCAGCATGAATGCGCCTAGAAAATGCACGGAAGGCTACCGCGGTCATGCGGAACCCTAAACGCCTGCAGAACAACGCCCTAGGAATGGATACCCCTTAAACTGGTTACCACCAGAAATATAACTTCAAAAAAAAAATCCTCGATTCGGTGCAGCATCTTGAACCTGATACTACAATCGACAACCGAAGCTCAAATCGGGTGTATTATAATTATATTGTGAAAATAGTAGGTAGAGTTAGGAGCCATAGCTAGGTAAGTCCTTGCTAGGCAAGAGAAGTTTATGCAAAAGAAGAAGAGGAGGTTCACTAGAAAGCAGCAGGATACATATAGGAAACCCTAAGGGGTTGTACTCGCTATAGAGTACCCCACTGCAGGCTAGAGAACAATGACATTCTGACATATATAAGGGAGAAAATGCTCAACTGAAAGGTCACCAGAATGTTTAGCAGAAGCTCAATCCCAGGGCCTCAGTTATCAGGATAATTTATCCTGATTCTCCTGAATTCAGAATAGGTGTCGTGTGCTAGTCCTGGAAAAACAGCATAACAGGAATAGTTGTCCTGTAATTTCAGTATAACGGTTATTTTGTGTACTGAAAACTCGGGATAAGGCTGTAGGTTCAGCCCTGATGAGTCAGGATAGTGTCGAATCTCGCTCTGAGGCGAGATGTACTGTACGAAAAATCTCCTGGGTTTTGGGGCCTAAAATATGAACGGGCGAGCACCTCCACATAGGAGCCAGCGGGAATCGCATTGTCACTTAACCCGCTACGACACTTCACCTATCACTAGTTGTGGCACAAAAATTTATGCATAATACTAAATGTAGCACTGGCATTTCATGATACCTGTAAGGAATTTTCTCGGCATTCCTTACGGAGCCCGACTACATCGCGTACAGCAACAGCCGTTGTTCGCCCGTTACTGCTAACGGAACTTCGCCGACTTCGCGCGCACTGTTTCACCAAACCTCGCACTGCTGGCCCGGCCGTGTCGGCCTACGCTTCGGGACTAGCCCGAGCCTCGCTGCCAGCATAGCACTGGCTAGCTCGCACGCACCGCGTTACCGTTTGCATGCTTCGCATATAAATGTTCGCTCATGCCTTCGCTCACATCTTTGTACTCGTTTGACACCTTAGTGCAATTCTCGCTACTTCGATTCATTGCACCCGTAACACTTGGTATCAGAGCCCCTTTCTTTCGGACCGCGCACCTCCGCACCCCAGGAAATCAACTTTTGATTTTTTCACTCGAAGGGACTTACGTACCTTAGCACCTAGGAGCCGCTGTCCTCGCGTTCTCTCGTAAACGCGTGCAGCCACGACTGCGCCTAGACTAAGACGAGCCGACGTCCTTCGAAATGGCCGAACACATCGACGTCACGACTCTCACGCAGGAGCATTTGAACGATCTGCTGCGACAAATCCGCGAGAGCGCCGAGGAAATTGCGACGCTGACGGCAGAACGCTCGTCCCTGCAAAACGACCTCACAAGGGCACAATCCCAAGCACCTGGCACTCTGATTCAGCCCGCACCACAGACATCACAGCACGGAAGTGTGGGGCAACCCGCGAGCGCGGCCAGTGATGGCGTCGTCCGCCCCGACGGAGACGACGACCACGGCACGACACACCCCGGAGCGACGAATGCGGCCCCAAGTCAACCTCGCATCACGATTTCGGCACCGACCCACGATTCGGGACTGCCGTCATCGATGCCGCTGAAGCCGCAGCGTCCGCCATGCTTTGACCCGAGTCAACGGGGTGGTCCTACCGTTCAGGCGTGGTTGTTCACGATGAACGTGTTTTTCGACGCCAACTACGTCTCGGAGGATTCGGCGAAAATTCGCTACGCCGTGTCGCTGCTGCGAGGACCCGCCATGGACTGGTGGCGTGTCATCGTCACGAAGCCGAATGACTACGCGACTCTACCGACACGGGAAGGACAAACCGGACCCTGGGCGCCGTCGTACTTCGTGGAGGTACCCCAATATCGCACGTGGGACGCGTGGTGCGCAGGTCTGCGCGCTCGATTTGAGCCAATTGCGGCTTCGATCGCGGCGCGACAGAAGCTCCGCACTTGGCGCCAACTCGGTTCAGTCCAGGACTACACCAGCGGGTTTCTGGCGCTATGCGAGCAAGTGGGCTACATGCATGACAGCGAGCGCATCGACCGCTACATCGGCGGCCTGAAGCACGACATCGCTCAAGAAATTCAGCTTCGCGGCGTCACCGATTTTCAGGAGATTCTCGCTATGGCGGAGAAGCTCGACTTCTTCCGCCGACCGAGCCCGGGGTCCTACGGCAGTAGCAGCAACTGGGGACATCGGTCTCGTGGGACGAACGAGGGCGCCACGATACGTGCCGTCGCCGCGAATGCCGCTGCCGCACCGTTCAAAGGGCGCTGCTTCGCGTGTAATCGGCCGGGACACCGCAAGAGCGAATGCCCGGAAAACGCTAAGGGAAAGGGGGAAGCTGAGCAGCAGAAACAGACCAAGCAGCAGGGAAACGCTGGGAGTCAGTAGCAGACGGGCCCTCTACTGACAGGTCACGCCGCTCGCCCGACCCAACCGACCCTCACCGAGTGATTGTGCCGGTTCACGCAATCGACCACACCCGGCCGAATAAGGAGGGTACTACGGTAGACAGCCCTATACTGCTTAGTGGGAAAATCGGGACGGACTTAGTTAAAATCTTCGTAGACGGGGGAGCCAGCCACAGCCTCATCAACACTGCTACAGCACGAAAACTGCGACTGCCACTGGACAGATGTTTACCTGAGATCGACGCACGACTGGTAGACGGCACGCCGCTGGCAATACGGGAACGCGTAGACCGGGTTCGGATTCGATGCGGGGGTAACTTCACATTTAGCCAAGAAATGCTCGCAACGACCCTCGACGGAACCGATATTTTACTCGGGCATGATTGGTTGCGACGACACAATCCGCGAATCGACTGGACGACGGGTGACTGCACCGTGCGAGTGAACGGTAACCACATCGCCCTACCTCGCTGGGGCTCGCCTGAGTCTTCGTCGGTGCGTGTCAACGCGATCACGATGAAACGCGCCGTAGCGGCGGGAGCTGACGTGTACGCGGTCGACATTCGGGAAGCCGAGGCAGCAGACAAGGGAGGGGATTTGCAGAAACTGCTGACCGACGTACCGAGTGACCTGGCAGCACTGTTGAAACAGTACAGCGACATTTTCCCGGACGACTTACCGACGGGACTGCCACCTCAGCGACCGCACGATCACAGAATAGAATTGGAACCGGGGGCACAGCCAACAGTACAGCGACAGTTCCAACTGACCCAGCCCGAACTGGACGAACTGAGGAAGCAGCTCGATTACCTGCTCGAGAAGGAGTTCATTCGCCCTAGTTCGTCGCCTTTCGCAGCACCGATACTGTTTACACCGAAAAAAGACGGGGGATTTCGCATGTGCATCGATTACAGAGCACTGAACAGGGTTACCATCAAATCCCGTTACCCCATCCCACGAGCCGACGAACTGATCGACCAACTGCGCACAGCCCGGGTTTTCTCGAAAATCGACCTCCGGGGGGGTTACCATCAGATTCGTGTCAATCCGCCCGACTGCCCTAAAACCGCATTCCGAACACGCTACGGATCCTTCGAATACACCGTCATGCCCTTCGGACTGACCAACGCCCCCGCCACTTTCCAAATGACCATGAACGAAGCTTTCCGCCCACTCTTAGATAAGTGCGTCATAGTATACCTGGACGACATACTGATTTACAGCCCTGACAGAGCACAGCACTTACAGGACATCGAAGCAGTTTTTAAAATACTGAGTGAGAACTGCCTACTGATAAAAGCGTCTAAGTGTGAATTTTTACAGGACCGTCTGGAGTTTTTGGGACACGTTATTTCAGCCGCAGGAGTGGAAATAGACCCGAAGAAAATTGCGACGATTCAGGCGTGGCACGCGCCGACCAACTTGACAGAATTGCAGAGTTTTCTGGGGTTCGTCAACTACGTGCGCCAGTTCGTCCCCGACATGGCGAAGCTGACTGCCCCGTTGACTGACCTGCTGAGGAAGGGGGTTGAGTACACGTGGGGGGAGAAAGAGCAAGCTGCCTTCTCGGCCCTCAAAAACATTTTGTGCTCACCGCCCGTGCTTCACATCGCCGATCCACACCGTCCGTTCGAGCTCGTCACTGACGCAAGTGACATCGCTGTGGGAGCAGTACTGTTGCAGGATTTCGGGAACGGCCTCCAGCCAATCGTGTACGAGTCCCGCGAACTGCACCCGCCCGAACGCAACTACCCGATACACGACCGCGAAATGTTGGCGATCGTGCACGCGTTCAAGGTTTGGCGGTGTTACCTGACTGGCGCCGACGTGACAGTACGGACAGACCACCGATCACTACAGTACTTACGCGCCCAACCAAATCTCAATCCGCGACAAATTCGCTGGCTGGACTACCTCGAGTCCAACTTCCACTACACGGTTACGTACAAGAAAGGCGCATCCAACATCGCCGACGCACTCACCCGCCCTACCGCCCAACTCCACGCCATCCTACTCGCCCAGACCAACCCGCTGTTAACAGGCCTATTCACCCACGGATACCGCACCGACCCATTTTTCACGACTGGAAACTCACAGCAACTGGCAGAAGCTAAAGGAGTTTATTACGTAAAAACAGGCACCAACCGCATCTGGGTACCTGCGTACTCACTACTGAGGGAGCTGCTACTGCAGGAGGCACACGACGGAATTACCTCGGGACACTTTGGGGTAGAAAAAACGCGACAGCAACTGCAGCGGTATTATTACTGGCCGGAGCTGTTGACCGACGTACAGCAGCACGTGGGCTCGTGCCCCACGTGTCAGGTGATGAAAAGCCCGAGGAAGCGGAAGGCGGGTCAATTGCAGCCGATACCACCGCCCGAGCGCGCCTCGCAGCAGGTTACCATGGACTTCGTCACAGGGTTACCTTCGAACCCTGGGGGTAACGACGCGGTGATGGTCGTTGTTGACAGGCTGACGAAGATGGCACACTTCGCTGCGTGCAAAAAGTCGATCTCAGTCGAGGAGACCGCTCGTCTGTTCATCGCAGCCGTTGTTCGCCTGCACGGGATACCAGCAGCGATTATCAGCGACAGGGACACGAAGTTTACCAGCAACTTCTGGAAAAACCTCTGGGAGCAGTTCGGGACCAGGCTACAGTTCAGTTCGTCGTACCACCCCGAGACCGACGGCCAAACGGAGCGGACGAATCAGACGATGGAGCAGTTGATTCGTGCCACGTGCGACGACCCCACGACTTGGGAACAGCAGCTGCCGCTTATCGAGTTCGCGTACAACAACGCCACGTCAGCGACGACGCAGCAGTCCCCCTTCTACCTGAACTACGGGCAAAATCCTACAGTGCCCATGACGCCGAGTCCGGACAATCCGACACCACGTGCACAACAATTCGCCGAAATTCTGCAAGCTGCCCGCACCAGAGCTGCAGAAGCAATTAAAAAGGCAAATGTCATCGCTAAGTGCAACGCCGACCGCCACCGCCGACCCGTCACCTACCAGTCAGGGGATTACTGTCAGATTTATATGACATAGCTACTGTAGGCTATAGTGGGGTAGCACATATGGGGTACAGTTGTCTAGGGTTTGCTTTTGTACCCAACTTTCCCTTAGTCAATTCATTTCCTCATTTCTTAACAATTACGTACTGCTCGACACGCAAAACCTGCGACTGCCCGACGTACCAAAACTGCGACCGCGCTACTGTGGCCCATTCCAAATCAGCCACATGATCACGCCAGTAACCGCGCACCTACTGTTACCGACCGACTGGTACATCAGCCCTTCGTTCCACGTCAGCTTGCTTCGCCCATACATCCCAACCACAAGCCAATTGCCTCGCCACCGCCCGCCATCCATGACTCGCCCTGCATCAAAGCCGATCATCGAGCCCGAAAAAATCCTGAGCCATCGGATTCGACACCCCACGGGAATCAGGAGGATTGAATTCCTCGTTCGCTGGAAGGACCGCACGCCAACTGAGGATAGATGGGTGCCCCTGGCCAACATTGAAAACCACCCTGCCCTGCAAGTGTACCTGAGGAGCCGGGGATTCCGCGACATACACGCACTCGCGTAGCGGAGGGGGCTTCTTGAAGGGGAGGGGGTAGTGTAAGGAATTTTCTCGGCATTCCTTACGGAGCCCGACTACATCGCGTACAGCAACAGCCGTTGTTCGCCCGTTACTGCTAACGGAACTTCGCCGACTTCGCGCGCACTGTTTCACCAAACCTCGCACTGCTGGCCCGGCCGTGTCGGCCTACGCTTCGGGACTAGCCCGAGCCTCGCTGCCAGCATAGCACTGGCTGGCTCGCACGCACCGCGTTACCGTTTGCATGCTTCGCATATAAATGTTCGCTCATGCCTTCGCTCACATCTTTGTACTCGTTTGACACCTTAGTGCAATTCTCGCTACTTCGATTCATTGCACCCGTAACAATACCTCACCCTGTGCAGCCCTGACAATTCAGGGCAAATTCTGATTTCCTAAAAACTGCCCTGAGGCCTCAGTGTACCCCCAAACGAATCTGAGGCCCTGCTCAATCCACTTTCCAACAAAAGAGCATTTCATTGACTAACGCCCGCTCATTTTGATTCATTATTTTCTCCTGCTCAAGCTAATGGTGGATTACCATCCACAAAAAAAATCCTCCATCCCTCACACATCATACCATGCCAGACAGGACAATCTAATATCAGCCAAAAACTATACTATACAGCCTACCATATCCCGCGTTCCCCTTCAAGACGTATACAATTCCGAACATGCGCTTCCCTTAACTGCGGTGCATACTGTAACGAGGGAGGTAAGTACTCCAGGTTGCAACAGAAATCCAGAGTCAACTTTTGCAAGCTCCGCCATTCCATGAGCTCCCCATACTGCAACAGATCGTGCCACAAACTCTGATGCTCCGATTCTTCACTGCCGCCCCCCCCAGCAGCAGCATCGTCATCACCGCCCTCTTCCCTTAATCCCCCCTGCTGCTTTTCCGCCTGCCCTCGTTCCTCCATGCACCCCCTGTGTTCTCCACTTGAATCACTCCCTCTCAGATCGGATGTTTCAGCCTCCTCATCTTCCCTGCTTCCCTCACTTCCCTCCACTTCTGCTTCGTCCTCTCCACTCCCCCCCCAACCCTCAGAGCCCTCTCTTTCCTCCTCATCTGCACCACTATCCCCCCCCTGTCGCTCTGTTCCCGCAGCATCATCATCATCACCAGCAGTATCAGCGGCAACATCATCATCACCAGCTGCGTCAATATCACTAGCACCATCATCATCATCACCATCACCAGCATCAGTGTAGGAGGAGTAAGGAATTGAGCGCAGCTGTTGCATACCGAACAGGTAGAGAGACGTGAGATGGGGCAGGAGTGGGAAGCACGAGGGGAGCGAAACCAGCCTCAGGGAGCGCAGAACAATGGAGCGAATCGGGAAGCGAGAGCGTGTGGAGGATGTGGGAGACAGGGAGGGGGGTGGACGGACAGGGGGAGAAGGGATGGAGTTGAGTGAATTGAGGCAGTCCAGTTCGAGGTGTGTGAGGGACGGGAGGAGGAGGAGCGTCGGGGGGAGGGAGGAGATGGCATGGCAAGAATCAATCTTGAGTTCCTGGAGGGAGGGCAGGTGGTGTATGTCTGTGGGGAGGGAGGAGAGAAGCGGGAGGTGGAATAGGGTGAGGTGGGAGAGGTGGAGGAGGAGTGTGAGGGAGGGAGGCAGCTGGGAAATATGGTGACTGTTGGAGAGAACCAGGTGTTGCAGCGACCGCAGCAGAACCTTTGTGCCGGGTGAAGTGGGGATGGGTGTCGTGGGGAGGGCGCCTGTTGTGGTGACTGGTGAAGTGGGGACAGCTCGAGGCAAACCAGTATTGACACCCTCTTGACTTGTAACGTCCCCGCTTGTGGCATCCTTAATTGTGACATCCCCACTTGGAACACCCCCCTGCTCCTTCCCAGCAATCACCACCACCACCGCTTCTGCTCCTTCTGCTGCTGCTGCTGCTGCTGCTGCTGCTGCTGCTGCTGCTGCTAGTGGTGCCTTTTCTGCTCCTCCTTCCTCACTGTCAGACTGACTGCCACCCAGCTCAGAACCACACTCCAAGGGAAGATGCATAAGGCTGGAGCAGGAGAGAGAGAGCGTGTGGAGGGAAGGGAGAAGAGGGAGAGAGGACGGCAGGTGGGATACCACGGAGCAGTCTGAGAGAGAGAGTGCGTGAAGGGAGGATAAGAGGAATATTTCAGGAGGAAGGGAGGAGAGTGAGAGGCAGGAAGAGAGTTGGAGCGTGTGAAGGGAGGGGAGGAGCGGGAGTGAGTGAGGGAGGGACAGGAGACTCCTGCAATGCTCAATCTTAAGCTCTTGCAATGAGGAGAGGGCACTGAGGGAGGAGGGAAGCGAGGAGAGGCGCGGGCAATTGTGAATGTGGAGGAGAGTGAGGGAGGGAAGGGAGGCAAGTGAGGGTGGGAGGTCCGTGAGTGAAGAGCAACCCTTAATTTCTAGTGTGTGGAGGGAAGAGAGGCGGGAAATGTCTTCTGGAAGGGCAGAGAGGTGGGAGAAGGAGGCGAGTGAGAGAAGCTCAAGGGAGGCAAGCTGGGGGAGCGAGGGAGGTAGCGCCTTGAGCCTCGGTCGGTTTTGCATGTTGATATCGTACTCCGCCAAACGAAGCTCCTTCAAACGGGGTAAATGGTGGCCAAAGTCAAGGGGGAGGGAGGAGAGAACAGGGTGCTTCATGTTGGTTATTGTTAGATGCTCCAGGGACGGCTGGTGGAAGAGAGAGGGGGGAAAGCTAGAGAGAGAGTCGCAGCGGTGCAGATAGAGGAGGGTGAGGTGATTCATGTGAGAGAGTGAGGGGGGGAGAGAGGAGAGGAGGAGGAGGTCGGATAGTTTGAGAGACTTGAGATTGGAGAGGAGGCCAAGTGTGGAAGGAAGGCGAGTCAGGCAGTTACAGTCGTTGATGGTCAGTTGGGTGAGGGAGGAGAGGGAGGAGGAAGAAGCGGGTAGATACTCCAGCCAATGGCATTGCTGCACGGTCAGCTCTTCCAGACTTTCAAGCTGACCGAAACCTTCGGGCAGCGCGATCAAATCGTCGCAATTGACGATGGTTAGGCGACGGAGGGAGGAGAGGCGGGAGAGGGACGACGGCAGTTCCTGTAGCTCGCCAAAGTTACTAACGGAGAGTTCTTGTAATGAGTGGAGATCCCCAATGGATTCTGGAAACTCGGTGCATGATGGGAGGGAGGAGAGGTGGAGGGAAACGAGGGAGGAGAGGGAACCGAGAGATTGAGGGAGGGAGGAAAGGAGGGGAATGTTGTCGAGAGTGAGGGAGGTGAGGGAGGAGTGGATGCTGATGGAGGGAGGGAGGAGACGGAGGGAGGAGCAGGAGACGAGGCTGAGGTGAGTGAGGGAGGAGAGGAGGGTAATGGAGTCCGGGAGTGACTGTAACGAAGGGCATTGTAAGTGCAGATGGCGGAGAGAGAGGGGGAGTGCCAAGCGGTGGAGGTCGGTTCGCTTGGTCGCGCTGGCTCCAGTGGCAGGTGAGGGAGAGCGGGTGCTAGTAGGAGGAGTGAGGGAACTAGGGGGGGTGAGGGAATTAGGGGGTGTGAGGGAATTAGGGGGTGTGCGGGAATTAGGGCTGGTGAGTGGATTGGGAAATGAGAGATTGTCAGGAGGAGAGAACGGCGGAGGGAGTGTGAGGGAGGTCAGGGAGGAGCACTTCAGCAGCAGCTGCTCCAGGCAGCCATGGCTAGGCAACGCTTGTGGTAACCACATAACGTTTTCCAAACATTCTTCCAAGTGTAACTCCCTTAGCTTCGAAGATAAGCTGATTAGCGACTGTATATCTCCATCCTTAACGTACAGAACGGAAATCGACTCCATACGGAAATAATTCCGTACTCCTCCATAAATATCCTCCCCAGTTTCCCTTGGATCCTCGCTCTTGAGTAAACCGAACATGACCATTCTTTTGCCGAGATGAAGGCTGGTCAGTTCCGGACATTGCGTTGGAAGATCCCGGAAGAAACGGAGGGGGATGAACCCGAGCGCGCGATCAGGCGCGGAGATGGCCGTGAGGTGCGGGAACCGCGCGGAGGCGGAAAGAAGCGTGCGCGCGGAGAGACAGCGGTCGGGGGGAAGACGGATGGCGGATTGCGCGAGGAGCGCGAGGCGGAACCACCGGCGACAGACGAATGCGTGTGAGAAACTTGAGCCGTCCGATGCGATTTCGCGAAGGATCGAGCAGAGAATGTCGTCCGAGAGGAGATCAATCGGCGGCCGTTGATCGACGGCGAGGACAGCGTTATCAGGAGCCATGCGATCAAATGGTGGAGGGGAATAGGCGTAGAGTTGGCGAAAACAGGTGTCCAACACTCCGTGTGAAAGCAGTTGACAGTATGGATGGGAACCTGTGCAATGGATTGTACAAGGGCAGTGCAATGGATTGTACAAGGGCAATAGTCATCGGGACTTAAGACGTGGACACTGGCAAAGATTTTGGCGATCCTACTGTCCACAGCGATCCGCCACCATACTGGAAACCCGTTATTGTTGTCTTTACCGTTTTAAACCTGGATAAAACCCGAACCTCCGGCGGATCGATCACGCAAATGTCGTGGCTGTCCACGTCCTTAGGACGCGTCACATTTGACACATCGAGCCTGCAAGAAAATTGTTGTGTGAGTGTACAGTGGCTTCGCGATTTCGTGAATACTAGTGTATCCTCGCTCCGTGAGTTTTCGCGTAAACTACGACACTGTAAGATCGTCCAATATCGATCCGCCACCGCACTGAAACCCCGCTTCAAGCATTCACAACTCTCAGAAACGTTATTATCCCCGCTAGAAATGGATCTCGAGGGCGATCGTGTCCTACGCGGTTTGGAACACAGCTCTAGCGGTCGATACTCACGATTTCTGTCCGGTGTGTCAGATATGACCTGTCCTGAACTCTGGTATCTCCTCTCAAATGTCTGAAGATCACATGAAAGAATCTGCATGCAAGCAGATTATCCATGGATGCACTATCGTCTCGTTCCTGCAAGCAGCACTTGATGGGTTTCTCATCACAAGAATAGCGGCGCGTAGGTGGCTTGTTTAAAGAGCACCCTAGAACGAGATTCGCACCGTACAACAAGCCTGTATCGGTGAGCCTCCTTTGGTCGCATATTACCTATGAGGGTTCTCGAGGTTTCGTTTCTCTGGGGTTCTGGCAACCACCACCATGGACTTACGTGCTTTGTACGATCCCGCTTTTCCAGCGTCGAGGAAGACCAGACTGAACAATTCATCGCTCTGAACACTCACTCTGAAGAGTAAGTTTGCTTCTTCGATGCAAAGGAATGGCTAAAGAACGACATCTTACCAGCGCCGGTGATCTTCTAAGCACGTTCAAGGAGCTGAGCTCTACCTGGAGTTCTCCGGCAACGAATCGAGCTCCTGTTGGTGTGTTTTGGGACTACGAGAATCTTCCTGTCCCAAAGCATGCGTCGACCTCACAAATTGTTTGCAAACTGCAAAAATTTGCGGACGGTCTAGGAGACGTGCAGCTAATTAGAGCGTACGGACAGGACACATGCTTCAAGAAGCAAAGAGAAATTCGGCGCTGCAACGTTGAGCTGGTGGTAGTTCCGCCTGGAAGAAACATGGCAGACAACGCCATTAAAAAGGACGCTGAAAGATTCTTGCTCGGGGAGATTGCATGCCTTCTGAACTCTGGACGGGACTGCACGGGGACCAAGTAAGTGTTGTACATGTAGTTTTTTTTAATCCTCATGTTCTTTCCGTTTTTTCCAACCACCCTGCCTTTTTTGTCTTATTCAGAACTGTATGTGCATATCTCACCCCTGGCTTCCCAAGCAGTTTTGAGCATCCGTTTGTGGTCATAATTTCTCAAGATCGGGATTTCTTCCCTTTCATCTTAACTTTGGTTCGCACGGGAGTGAGAGTAGTCACATTATTCTCCTTAACCACCAAGCAGAACCAGGATCAGAGTGAGAACTGGCGCTCTGCTCTACTGCAGTCCAACGTGTCCGTGCAATCCAGTGAGGTACGAGCAGGTTCAGTCATGATGCGCGGTTTCTTGCTCGGCAGGACTGACCTCATGCCATCATCTGCAGAAGCGTCTCTTAAGTTGGTCCCTACCAATTCCAGCACGCACAACCCCTCCACAAGCTCGACACTGCCAACTCTCACGAGCAATGTTCCAAAACTTGCACGACTCAAATACGAGTTTGTCACAGTCGTTGGTGCTCATGGATCATGCAACATCCAGCAATTTTACAAGCTGTATCATGCTGTGTTTGGGAAGCAGTTCAGCTACAAAGACCACGGGTTCAAAGGACAGCATCAGTTGCGCTAAAAGGTGTTGTGGATTTTACAAGGGAAGACCTGCACAAGCCTTTTAACATTTCGCTTGTGCAGTCGGAAGCCAACATGCAAACTCTTGGACTTATCCAATCAAGGCTAAGAGTTGCTGTTCATGCAGCTCTAGAGGATCTACTATTGCCAAAAGAAGGTGGTGCATCCAGGCACTGGATTTCCCTGCAGCAGCTGGAAGAACGGCTGAGATTGAAGACGCGGAAGCAGTTGGGAGTGCTGTTGAAGAACCACGGTCTTCCAAAGCCCGCAAAGCGAAAGGTTCGTGTGAATCAGCGGCTCGTGCTGCTTTTGAAGCAGATGCCTGATCTGATAAAAGTGCAGCAGGTCACAAGGAAAAGAGTTCGTGTGCGCCTTATTCGAACCGAGAAAGATACGAGGATTGCTGAGTGGAAGCTGAGGAGTGTAATGTGGGACGGATCAGTGTACATGTGTCAGTAACTACAGTGTATCATGTGCCTTGCATTCTGCTGGTGCGTTGATCCACGTAAGGGCTTGAAGGAGCTGCAATGACGTGTATAATACGGTATGACTACAAAGGCCTAAATGCATCATTAGGTGTTTGATTTGCCCATTCATGAAAATGCTGCCATGTCGTGTCCACTTGGCAGCGCAGTATCGGTGCAATATCAAGCATTGACATGTCTTTTTCAAGTGGAGGGAGGGTAAATTCATAGTGAGAACCATTGGTGGGAGTCTGGTAGACCGCAAATGAGGTGGACGGGGATGTGATGTGTCGAATGTATGCTGTATCCATTGGAACATCCACAAGGAGCTTGCCCTTTGACAGCTGTAAAAGAAGTGAAGATAAAGAAAGAATAAAATATGAAGTACATTGGGGTCTTCAAGTAAAAGCTTGTACGGTACTGTGAAAGCCACGATAGCTACATCCAAACACAAAATACACATCAATCGTCGAGCACTCACGAGCACGGGGCGGTGTATGCTGAAGGCAATGGCTCCTCCCAGCGGGGTGGCATATTTGGCTCGCTGGCGGTTCTGAAACATGCGCCGGTCCCGCTGTGTGCTGCTTGCTGTCAGTAGTGGGGGTGGCTGGAAGAATGGGAGGGAATGGGGCGAGGAGAGGGCAGATCGGCGGGAATGGTGAGGAGAAGTAGAGTGGAGAGGAGCGCATGGGAGTAAGGGAAGGAAATGCATGAAGGAACAGGAATAAAGAAGGGGCGGGTTCATGGGGGAAGGGGAGGGGTTATAGGGAGACACGATAAATGACAGAATGGGATGAGGGAGTGAAAGGAAGAGAAAGGGTGGGGAGACAAAGAGAGTGGAAGGGGGCGTGCGGGGAAGAGAGAGCTTGGTATTCTGATGACAGAAAGAGATGCGGGGAGGAAATTAGAGTTGAGTGGAACACTTACCTGGGTTGGGATGTGCAGAAACGCAGCAGCATCAGGGGACGACGGAGGAGGAGGTGAGGGAGGAGCGGGCACATGCGGATACCACCAGCTGCGGAAGAGAAGCATTCCAGTGGTGGGATCACGGAGTAGCTGGTGGTGACGATGGTGAGGAGACAAGGGGAGGCGGAAGAGAGGGGGATGGGAGGAACGGGGAGGGGAGAGAGGAGTGGCATGTGAGGGTCGCACAAGCCTCGGAGGAGACAGATGGCGGTGGTGAGATGAAGGCGTAGCTGATGGTAGTGGTGTGGAAAAGGTTGGAGAAAAAAAGAGAGGGTGATGCAGAGGACAAAAGGTTGGAGAAAGAAGAGAGAGTGCAAAAGGAGAAAAGGTTGGAGAAAAGACAAAAGGAGGGAAGCAGAGAGTGCAAAGAAAGAAGATTCCATGCAAAGTTAGGCTCACAGGAGAAAGGATTGTATTCCAGATGCTTCTGCTGCTGCTGCTGCTGCTGTTACTGCTGCGCCTGTCAGCAGCATCATCCAACTCAGAGCAGGTACGAGGTATGCTCTCCAGTGATGGCAGGCTCTTGAGCAGCAACGGGGAGAAGGAGGGCGGAGCCAGGAACTCGTCCAGGTCAAGGAAGAGAAGGGCGTGCGAGGGAGACCGGGAGTGAGAGGGAGAGTGGGGGTGGGAGCGGCAGTAGCAGTCAAGGAGGAAGAGGCGCTGGGCCCTGTAGTGCATGTCCACACCAGACGGCCGCTGGTTGGGTAGCCCGTTCACCTGGTGATTGCAAGAGGATTGAGAGGAGTGAGAGAGAAGTGAGAGAGAAGTGGGAGGGGAAGAGTGAGCATGTGGGAGACCTTTGAGATGTCTGGAAAGGGAAATTAGTCACCAGAGTTCATTCCTTGGTACAGGGCAGGTAACAGATTAAGGCGGAACAGACTGAGGGTCAGGGGATGTGATTTCCTCGATTCCATACCTCTGTAAAAGGCAGGGTACAGAGCAGGAGGGAGCGGAACGGGGGGGGGGGGGGGGGGGGGGGAGTTTCAAATATTCCATACCTCGGTGAAAGGCAGGTCCCACAGCACGAGGGAGAGGAAGGCGGGCCAGCGGAGGGCGGAGAAGCGGAGGAGAGCACGGGAGAGGGAGGAGAGGGAGTAGCTATCGTTGTCGATGGCGTATGCTGTGACGTGGTGTGCTCCCATGAGGTGCACGAAGTGCAGCCACTCCAGCCACAGGGGCTGTGAGTGCAAGGGGATGTTGGACAAAAGGAGAGTGGGAAGAAGGGAGGGGTGTGGGAAGAGTTGGATTTCGAGGAGGAATATTGTGAGTAGAGAAGTGGGTTGGTTTAAAGGAGTGGGTTGATTCGGAGGAGTGAGTTGGTTTGTAGAAATGGGTTGGTTCAGAGAGTGGGTTGGTTCGGAGGAGTGGTTTGGTCCGGAGAATGGGTTGAGTCAGAAAAGCGGGATGATGGAACACCAAGTTCTCTGAAGAGACAGCACGCATACACAAGAGACGATTGCAGTGAAATACAAAAGACAAACGTCACGTGATGACAAGAGCAGGTAACTGCCAGCACATCACACAGTGAGTTTCAAGGGGCCCACCAGTGAGTGAGGGCGAGTTACGGCGAAGAAAGGAATGTCAAGTTACATGAGATGAGCGGCTTGGCTTACTGAGATGTCAAAGAAGAGAGGGCCCGTGCACACAGTGAGCTCAAGAGTTCCACCATCACTCCCATTACTCTCACCACTCTCACCACCTTGCTCCTTATTTCCCCCATCAAATCCACTACCATCCTCCATTTTCCCTTCCCTTGTTGCTGCTTCTGCTGCAGCTCCTGCTGCGGCTTCACCTTCTCCTGGCGGACCTTTCTTTCCACTCAAACCAGCCTGCTTCTCGTGTCTGCCGATCCAGTTCAGCCTCACAAACGGCAGACTGTTCCTCTCAAGACTATCGCTGCTGCTGTCGGTGCCTGATCTGTTCCTGTGGCTGCTGGGGCTTGAATCGCTGATGCCATGGCTATCGTTCGCACTCTTCTCTGAACGTGTGGTGCTGCTGAGAGCACAGGAGGAAGGTGTGGCAGCAGCTGCAGCGGTGGCAGCAGCTGCAGCATTGGCAGCATTGGCAGCGGTGGCAGCAAGGTGTGTATCAGTGGTGAGGCGGTGGAGGAGAGTGACTGCCACTACAAGGGGCGCTGCTGATGTGCTCCCAGAGGGCTGATTGTGAATTGCTGCAACTGGAACCGGCAGAGGACAGTGCATCTGCAGGGAGAGATGATGGCATGGCATGGCATGGCATGGCATGGCATGGCATGGCATGAAATGGGATGGATGACATGGCATGAGATGGCATGGCAGGGCAGGGCATGGCTTGGCATGACTAGTTGGGAGACACATGAGAAGCATGTGGCAAAGCAAAGTATGAGTCAGCATTACCAGTCTAAAGAACGCCAAGCCTGGTAAGCACCCCCTTTGCAAAAATACCCTTTGTTTCAGTACTTGAATTGCCAAAAGCAAAGAAAACATGCACGGGCCATCCTTAGCCGTGCGTCTCACCTGCACCTGCTGATGCCGCCGCCCATGCCTGTCGTCCTCATCTGTGAGACTGCAGCACTGCCCACTGCGCCAACATACCCACTCCCCCTCCCCTCCCTCCCCACTCTCCTCCCCTTCCTCTCTTTCCCCACTCTCCGCCCCTTCCCCTCCCCGCCCTTCATGATCCAAAGCCTCTGCACGGCCTGTATCACACGGGCTGGCACAAACACTTTTAACTGCAGTCATGTTCAACCTGTCACCGGTGTTATACATGCTGCTGCATGCACGGCACAGGGTTCGCTTCTGCACACACACAAGAGCCTGCCAGTCGTCCACCCCATCTACAAAGGCATCGTTCCCTGCCACCAGCAGCACGACGCGAGCAGGCAGTTCCTGCAAAGAGTGAGCACTGCAGGTGCTCGCCGTGGTTTCAGTAGCAGTGGCCGTGCTGCCACTGTTACTGATCAGCCCACGACTGGTGCTGCTGCTGGGCCTGCGGCTGGGGTTGCCCGAGCTGCTAGCTTCGCTGCTGCCTGCAGCGCTTCGCTTCAGCCACCTTCCAGCCAAGGCCCTCCTACTCCTCCACACCCTCATTCCCGCTCTCCACACCCCCCCGGCCCTAGCATCAGCAGCAGGTGTGGCAGGTGCAGCAGGGAAAGGGCTCAATTGGTGGTGCGTGTCAGCCCATGCTGCCACCAGAAATGCCTCCTGCTTAGCAGCAGTGGGGGAGGGACTGGGTGCTGTGGCAGCAGTAGCAGCAGTGGCAGAATTGGAAGCAGGAGGAGCAGAAGGAGGGTAACCAGGTAGGTGCAATGGCGAGTGTAGTTCGGAATTGTGACGCTGTTGGTGCTGCTCGTCCTGCACACCAGCATGTGTGATGGGATGTCGTGATACATACACCCTGCCACACACACACACACGCACACACGCGCACGCGCACACACACACACACACACACACACACACACACACACAGACGCATGCACACACGCTCACATCATGGCCACACACACACTCACTTGCACACACGCACACACGCTCACACAATACACACAGACACTCACGCATATACACATACCCACCATGCCCACCGCACACACTCGCACACACAGAGACACACACACACAATTATTCACATTATGCCCATACCCCATCACCTACTCCAATGCACACAGCCACCCAGAACAGGAAACATCACCCATGGTCAGTGGGAGTGAGATGGTTGGGAGATGGTCAGGTGTGAGATGGTCAGGTGTGAGATGGTCAGAGACTAAAGAATGACACTGTAATCGCATGTTTGCACACTAGCATGCTCTGACGCAGGACGGAACATGGTGCGAAGTGATGGGATAGGGTGGGAGGAATGCCATGTGCTGTGATACCATGCCATGTCATGAGATGCAAAACAGTCTCAGCGCCATGTGGAACATGCCAGGCCATCTGGCGCGGGGATTACCGCTCACATGTCCACGTCAGCACCAGCCTGCTTCCACTCCGTGCCAGCTGGCTGCGACAGCTGCACTGCACATGCCGGCAGAACCACAGCCAAGCTCCCAGCTGCACTTGCTGCTTTTCCTCCCTCCGCTTGTCCTTCCTCATGAAAATGGAGATGTTTCAAGTTAGGGAAGGGATGAATACACAGAAAGAGGTTGGTGTCGGTCGTAAGGACGATCTGTTGACGCCCAGCGCGCCTCACCGGAAAGCAGGAAGATACATTGGGAGCATTTTCTCATTATTCAAGACGGACACGCGGGTTGAGAAAGCCGAGAGAAAAGAGCTCTTACTCGCTAAAAACAAGCTATGATTGCCCAAGCACTGTTTTGTCGCGACGTACAATGAAGAATGAAAACAGGGTAGCAAACTGCTTCTTACCAGCCAGACCAAAATCCAGTAGCAGCAGCAGCAGCAGACCCAAGGTCCCCAGCCCTGCCACAATCGCCAGCGCCATTAACAGCACCGCTCGTGTCAGCCTGAACCTCCTCTGCGCCAGATTAGTGCTGGGAGCACCAAGGCCGCGCCTTGACACCCAAATCCACCAAACAGACCCCGTGCTTTTCCCGCCAGAATGCAAGTTCTCCCTTTCCGCTCCCCTCCCCCTCTCCCTCTCCCTCCCCCTTGACCGCATCGTGGCGCACTAGGTGGATCCTTCCCCCCCTTCCCCGCCTTCTTGCTATGGCGGACCAGCGTGCACGAGCGGAGCCATTCAAACACGGTGTGCTGCAGCCTAGTAATCAGCAGGACGAATGCGACGTAAGTCCTAAATAGGCTGTAGGACCCAACAACCCAGACAACATAGTTGCCAGAGAAAGAAATGCTATGAATTTCCCTGCTTCAATGCGCCTACATATGCGACTTTCGGACCGACTGCTCGTGTTTGCCGCGATCACCCTCTTGAAGATTTGCGAACTCGTAACGAACAAACGCACCGCTGATAAAGCACGTCCTCGGTACCGTATACTCCCGGACAAAACACCCCCCCATAATTGTACACCCCCGGGTAGCTTGTGCGGGGTGGGTGTTATGATAGACCTCGTTTCTACTATACCCCCCTTTTTGGCTGATTTTCTATAACACCCCCCCTTTTCTTACGGATTCATTATTATAGTCGTTAACGAGTAGCTGCAATACGGAAGAATGTCGTGTGAATTTCTCCCTCAATGAAATTTCGCGGTACATTCAAAGGCAATCTGCCGAGATTTGCCCCCTCCCATTATTTCCCTGTCGCCACGTGCAGGTGAATCTTCCGTTGCAAGTGGCAAGAGAGGTGCCACATGCCATTTTCGTGGGGGCGATGAAGTTCGAGGCCGAAACTCACATTCGCGCCTCAGGCAGTGATGCTAAAACGACCAGCAAAACACCCACATTGACTAATTAAAAAAAACACTAACACTAAGATATGCCATATGTAAATGTCAGAACACGCTCTTAACTCTTGACTTAGTAACTTAGGGTTTACCTAGGAAGCGTGAGTGTCGAGAGTGAGCATGGCAAGAGAATTGGGCAAAGAGGGGATTCACTAAGGAATGTTTACAAGATATAGGATAGGGGAGAGGATAGGGTACACCACCAGCAGTTGAACCTAATAACTAACTAATACACTAGCAAGCTGTAGGCAGTTAGGATATGCAATATAATTCAACACACCCCCGTAACTGCCTACGGCCATAGCTAGTGGTGTCTGGCACCAGGTCGCCTGGAGAGCGGTTGCTGTAGCTGGGATAGGCACAGAAACAGCGGTGGCTGAGCGGCAGCACCTGTGAACGCCAGAACGGAGGAGGGCGCGGAGAGCGCGGAGGAGGGCTGGGATAGCCGGAGGGCGAAGGATGCTGGTCGCTCGCCATCTACGAGCAAACACAACTGTTGGTGAGGAGGAGGAAGCTGGTGGTGGTGCACAGGAGGAGAGCAGAGGAGATGCGGCTGGAGAGGAGAGAGGAGGAGGAGATGCGGCTATAGGAGAGGAGACTGGAGGAGGAGATGCGGCAGAAGGAGAGGAGAGGAGAGAGGAGGAGATGCGGCTGGAGGAGAAGAGGAGAGGAGAGGAGAGGAGGTGGCTGGCGCGGCAGAAGCTTTCCCGCCACCCCCTCATCCCCCTCCCCCCCATGCGCTGGCGCTGGCGGAAGTGCTGGCGCTGGGCGCTGGCGTCGCGCTGGCGCTGGCGCCCGCCGTTGGCGCTTGCGCTAGCGCCCGCCGTCGGCGCTGGCGTCCGCGCTGGCGCTTGCGACCGTCGTTGGCGCTGGCGGTGGCGCCCGCCGTTGGCGCTGGCGCTGGCGCCCGCCGTTGGCGCTGGCGCTGGCGCCCGCCGTTGGCGCTTGCGCTGGCGCCCGCCGTCGCCTCGCTGGCACGCTCGCCACTGGCAGAGCGCGACGGGGCAGGCGAAAGGGGGCAGCGCGACGGGTGCTGCAAAAGCAGCGGAGTTCGAGCCAGCAGCGGATTTCGCGCTACTAGCAGTAGCAGCCATGCCAGCAGCACAATAAGTCGCCATGGCAGATCGCGGGTTTGGTGGGCCCATGAAAACGAGGTCCTAGGAGGGACCACTCTCTGATATCATGTCAGAACACGCTCTTAACTCTTGACTTAGTAACTTAGGGTTTACCTAGGAAGCGTGAGTGTCGAGAGTGAGCATGGCAAGAGAATTGGGCAAAGAGGGGATTCACTAAGGAATGTTTACAAGATATAGGATAGGGGAGAGGATAGGGTACACCACCAGCAGTTGAACCTAATAACTAACTAATACACTAGCAAGCTGTAGGCAGTTAGGATATGCAATATAATTCAACAGTAAAGACCCGGGTATTATGTATTTTTTTCCTATGAGGAGACCCCCCCCATTTTTTCCCTGTATTTTTAGCTATACCCTAGGGTGTTATGTCCGGGAGAATACGGTAAGTTCTTATCGACTTGAACACTGGAGGAGTAAGTTTCAATCATCATACGTATTAAGAAGCATTTTGTTGAATTTAGATTAGACTGCCTGCCAACCCAGCATTTATATGCAAAGCACAGGCACAAGTATCCAGCGATTTAATACCAAGACAGTCATTAATTGCTCTATGAATGCACTTCTTTTGCCTTGCCTCTCCTCGGCTTTACAACCCCAACCACATAGGCATTCCATGAATCTGTCTGCAAAAACGTTTCCACTTCTTCAAAAGCAGCATGCTCATCCATCTCCACCTCCTCCTCCTCGTCCTCCCGGTCGGCAAGATCCGGCATCTTGCGCATCCACACGTGCACAGAGTCAAACCCTGCCTCTTGCATTAACTCACGCACCTCTGGAATTGTCCAGCTGCACAGTTGGAGCGACAATCACACAATAGAGTGAGGGAATGGTTAGCAGTGACAAACATTCATGAAACCAGCATTGAAGGTGAGTCATCAATGACAGTTCACGTTCGTGGAAGAACTCAAACACATTCATGTTGAAACTGCGACTGATCAGCACAAGTTCCAAAAGAAGAGACGCAAGGCAATCAAAAAGCAACACAATACACTTCACTTACAGGCGCCAGCTGTAGCTGAATGCACTGCGCAACACGCGCTTGGGCTGCTGCCGCTTCCTGCCACCTCTGCGTGCTGTGGAGTCTGCTGCATGGGCGGAGGACGAGGCAGGCGCCCAGTCATGTGGCACGCGGAAGTGCAGGGATATGCGGGTGGTGCGAGTCACAGCATCAAAGCGCTCTTGCTCCCATGTGTACTGGTAGCATGCACAGAACATAAGGAACACATGGGAGTTGGAAAGAGGAGAGAGCAAACACGTGGGTCAGAGAGCACGAGAGAGCGAGAAGGAGATGGTACCAAAAAAAAAATTGAGGACAATCACAACAAGGGCCATACGTGAGACGTACTAACTAACTCCCAAAGCAGAGGCTCAACCACCCCCCATCCCCCTTCTTCCCCCATGACTCACATCCATGTCCCCATATCTGCGGTGCAGCTTCAATGCCCCCTCAGAAGACGTGCCTCCATACAGATCCATTGCAAACACCCCTCCTCCCCCTCCCCCTCCTCCACCACCACTGCCAGCCCCACTCTCTGCCACACCCTCCCCAGCACTCCCACCGCCGGCGCCTGCAAGCCTAGTGCGAGCGCTCTTAAAGTAGGCCAGAAGCTCTGAGCGATGCAGGAGGCAGCAGGAGCTGAAGTTGAACGCACAGATCAGGTCTGCCCGTTGCTGCCGCAGCCTTTCCAATTGCGGCCATACGGGGCCTACAGCAGTGGTAGCAGCAGCAGCAACATCACCCTCCCCTGAATCTTGTACCTCCCTGGTTGCACTTGACTGTTTGTTCTCGCATTCTGGCTCGTCTAAAACGTCCGGGCACGCAAATCGGGCAGATGTGAGCGGATCACGCACGTCCCCAAGCAGCATGCATGCTCGTCCGCGGGCCGAGCCGGGCAGGCTGGAAAAGTTTTCCCGAATGCCCCAGGAAAGGGCCTGCTCGTCAAAGTCTAGACCGAGGGCAGTGCGACGGGGATCTCCTCGTAGCCACTCGGCACTGCTCTGGCGGGAGGGAAGAGCGGGAAGAGAGAGGGGGTTGGGGTGGAGGGAGGTGGATGGAACACGAGGGGAGAATGGTAAAGGGGAAAGTTTGAGATTGCGTGTTTGATTGAAAAAGGTAGGGTGATTATGGTGAGAAGATACGGCAGGGACCGGGTGAGGTGAGGACAGGCTGGTGTTGAGGAGGTGTGAGGGGAAAGAAGGTTCAGAACGAGAGAGGGAAAGTGTGTGCGAGAAAGAGATGAAGGTGTGCATTGTGAGGTTCAGGGTTTAGTGAGCAGATGAAGGATCTCTCGTGGTGTAGAATCTGGTAGTCAAGCGGCAAAATTGTGATGCTACTGTAACACAACATAAGAGCACACACGATTTCAACAATGCAGCAAGCATCCTAAATGAGCGCACTCGAGCCGCCCAGGACACACCATATGAGTGCGGTGCCGCAGAAGTCCTCGTGCAGGTGCTGGGGGACGCGGCCGCCTACGTAGTTGAGAAAGAACTTGAGCAGATAGCTGATGTCGCCGCGCGGGGACTGCAGGCACGGCGAGAAACGGATCAGGGAGGAGGGGGGACCAGGGGGAGGAGTTGCATGATACCGCGGACAGGCCAGGTGCGTGCAAATGTGCCTTGAAACGTGTATTTAAGCGAAAATTACCGCTCAGCGCCAATCTGCTACTGTAGGAGGAAGACAGATGGCTTAGAACTCGGGAAATTGAGCTGAAATGTGAGGACTCTTGAGGTGCCTAACAAAAATCTGTAGTTAAAGATGGCATGCGGAGAACGAACCTGCACCGCACGTTGATACAGGACAAACTTGAGCTCGTCTTCCTCCAACTTCCCCGCCGTTGCTGCGACGGTCGCTTCTGCGTGTGAATCCTCATCACTCTCATGACCTGGCGAGGATGGCGGCGGCGGATCGGCTATGATAGATTCAGGGGGATGCAGAAGGTAGTCCTCGCGGGTCCGGTTGCGACCCTCTGACCTGTGACTACCACCTTTTTTGCGCACCATTGTCGAAGTCGCCTGTCCGCAGGACGAAAACTGATGCTAAACTTGCTGACGGAAGTCGAGGGAAACTTGCTGCAGGATCAATTAGTTCAAGGAGCTGCATTGATGCTGCATCAAGTCCCATAGTGTAAAAATCTAATCTGCAATGAAAGCAATCATAACTTGCAACTCTCAGACTACTATAGAATGCTGCATACGGTTTTACTGTGTTTTGATTGGAAATACACACACTTTTCAACCAGTGCAAATTCTCCAATTCCTATCAACAGGCTGGACAATCTGAAATTCACGAAGGGTCTATCCATGTTTTAGGTGTACTTCTATTCGGTGTTCTGTACACGAATCCGTCTATATCTGGCGGTCTTTGATATTGCCGTCGCACATGGAGGTTTGGAGGTCTTCAAGGTGTCAACTCGCATCAACTTTTCAAACTGCCTGATCAAACAAGCACGAACTTCGGCTCTCTTCCACTCTCCTCCCAGCAGTGCCATGGCTTCAGGTTCTCCTGCTCAGGACTCCAGGTCTCCCAGCAAAGCTGCAGAGGGCGATGACCCAATCGATGTGGACGCACCGCAGGCAAGGAGCAATTACAATACATTCGGTGCTATCTGGTTTCTCTTCCGAGCTGATAATTTCCCGTGCAGGTTTTCATGGCCTGCATACTTTTAGGGCAAAAGTAAGCAATTGCTCTTTATAATGTCGCGCCGGATGCGGGGGTGTATTTTCAAGTTTTGTTTGTCCGACAGGCTTGGTATTGCGTGTTACAACGCCGGAACGCAACAGCTGGTGACGACGGAAACCTGGGAAGAGTCAGCGTCAGGAGAATTTCCAACTATACAGCTGTGTAAGTAGTTTATATGCTGAGAAACTCCTTTCGGCGCCCAGTTTTGTGAAAGAACAGATCTGGTGGTGCAGTAAAATTCCAGGAGCAGCCAACAGTCATAATCGCAAGCACTAAAGCAGACAAGGCCTTTCTTAATGCCTTGACAACACCAGGTACTTCGCGTTTTGACTGGATAAGTCTGTAAGCTTAGGCGGTTGCGCACTCACGATTTTCCCGGTTGCCGCAGTTGAGGAAGGTGGAAGCATTTTTTTTGTGAAGACTGTTAAAAGCAACCTTTTCAGTTATGAGCACGCTCAGAACAGGTAGGTTTCACGCATATAACTCTCCCCCTCCCTCGCCTTCCTTCACAAGTAGCCTCCACCTGCCATTTCCTTCACTCCCTTTCCCGCCTTCCTGTTTGATTACTTGAACCCTACCTCCTTCCGTTCTCCTTCCCTCTTGCTTATCTCATCTTTCCATCCTGCCTCTTTCCTTTCCTTCTCCGTTCTTTCCTTCTTCTTGTTGCAGACTTACGTTCTTACAGTGGAGCGGCATGCCCCAGGGGTTGAATGCAACTCAGAGGTTGCAACTTGTACGTGTGCTGGCGGTTCAGTATCTGTGTGCACACGTCACCCTTCAGTTCGTTTGCACATCAATTGACGATTTCTTTTCACTCGTTTCTTTTTCAATTTGTAGCTCAACACCAAGATCAGGCTGGAGGACGATGTGCAAGTCAGAGCACTGGGTGCTCTGCTCACGGTACTTCAGCAAGAAATGATATTGGACAATGTTGAGGTCACTGACAATGACGGAGACTCTACTTCTCTTGGAGTTCGGATAGGCAGCATTTCCCAACTGAATTTGTACGTCAATAAACACGACTTCATTATCTTAAAAAAAACTGTTGCTAACCTCTTTTTTCCTCTTGTTTTTCCTTTTCTTAACAGAGATGGTTTTTTGTCAGTGGACGCGTGGACCCTAAACAGCTTGCAGATATTTCAGAGCGACAAGCATCCCAGCCCTATGGGCATCGGCAAGACTAAAGAAGGGTATCAGACTTGTTGGCATTGCTGTATCGTTTCATATCTATCATAAGGGCTTGTGATAACCTTGTCAATATTTGTTTTTGAACAGATTCTCTGTGTTTGGATTGCTGAATAAGTGTGTGACAGCTGGAGGACGAAGCATGCTTAGGTAAGTCGTATTTGTAACGTAAATGCTGTGAAGATTTTTTTATGACTGATGGTTGCATGTTTACAGGATGTGGTTTCTGCGCCCAATTGTGGACTTGCAAGTGATTCAAGATCGACATCAAACAGTGAGTTGGTTATCTTTACATATGAAAAACTCGTGTGGCAACCGTGCTAAGAGGGTGCAGATCATTTGCAGATATCATTCTTGTCATCCTTTCCCGAGCTGCTCACATCTCTGCACTCTTTCCTTCAACATGTGAAGGACATTCCAAAACTGTTGATGGTAAGCACCTTTTATCCTCTCAGGGTGATGCTTTCTAAGGGCTCAATCATGGGTCCATAGATCAGCTATGCATGCTTTTTATCCTGATTTGGAAAATTATTGTGATTGCAGAAGTTGAAATCAGCAACCACAATCGTTACCCGTAAGGACTGGCTTCAGCTACTTGAGGTGGGTAGTCTTTTTGTGAAGTTTAGTGCAACCTTGAGCAGCCACTGACACTCTGATGTCTGAGCAGTCTGTGAGCTACCTGCTTGAAGTCCGCGAAGTGTTTGAAGTTACTGTAGCACAGTGGCAAGCTGAGAAAAGTAGCAACTCTGCTTTTCCCCTTATCCCAAAGGTGCCTACGTTCACTAAGAAGCTGAAACATAATTTATTGAGGTGGAAAGAAAAAAATATAACTGAAGCTGACTTAAGCAGGTCTTTGAAGCATTCAGTGATCATCTGACCTACATCAGGGATTTGGTAAGTCGAGAGCATGTTCTATCCACAATGTGGTGGCTACCTGTGTGCCTGTGTCCAATATCAATTGTTTGCTTAACTGTTGATCAACAGATCAGTGGAGTTATTGAATTCGACCAAGTATGTGGAACTTCACAAGAAACAATGGTCGCGTATGGCATTTGCCAAGAGGTATGCCCGTTTCTTACCTCAAGTATTGACATTAGACTGTTTTGTGCGAATGCTAATTTTTGTTGCTGCAGTTGGACGAGTTGAAACAGTTGTATGAGGGGCTTCCCGACTTCTTAACAGAGGTATGGCTCGGTTCTGTCATCACAACATTGTCATATCTCTGCTGGTTGCAAACCCTCGTTTTCTGTTTAGGTTGTGCAAGAGGAGCTGAAGAAGATGCCATCTGGTTTGGCGGAAGCATCCGAGTCGCCTTCAATTGTCTACATGCCTCAAGTTGGTCAGTGATAAACCAATCGTATTGTGTTTAAACTCAACAAACAGGAATCATACGTTGGGCATGGACCGTGCAGGTTACTTGATGCGTTTTGAAGGGCCACCGTTTTCTGACGAAGCAATGGAGGGCCTTTTAGATTATCGGTTTGCGGTAAGTTAAATGATGTTTTTTGCCACTTTCATTTTCCATCTATTTTTCCCATTATTCTCAAATGTTTCAAACAGTTCGAAGGTGACAACGGTGATGGCGCTGCTTCTTTTTACCACACGGATAAGACCAGGGAACTAGATCAGGTTCTTGGTGATGTGTTCCACAAGATCCTTGGTAATGTCTGCTGCATTCATATCCGTTTTTGCCATGCCGTGCATATTGTTGACACTGTAGATTGTATGTTCCAGACATGGAGAGTGTGATTATTCGTGATCTTGAGGGCCGTGTCCTTGAACACTCTGATGCTTTAACTGTGGCGTTTGCGGTGGCTGCTGAAATTGATTGGTGAGAGGGCCGCTGAAATTCTGGTTCTCACTCACTGCAGCTTTCAATATATTCTCTTACAATGTGTGTTGCTGCTTCCAGTCTTGTTTCTCTGGCTCTTTCTGCTCGAGAATTCAATTTGAAGCAGCCACGACTAACCAAGGAAAACGTGCTGAAGATTACGAATGGAAGGTGACTACATTGTAAATCAATCTTGTTGCCTTTGCGAATAAACATGGGAATGTAAAACGTTGTTTTTTCCTCAGGCATTTGCTTCAGGAGCTTGTGGTTGATACGTTTGTTCCAAATAACACCAGCATCAACCAAGATTCAGGTGGGCTGTGTATATTTTTCTTCTTCATCCGCGGTTTCTGTGTGTTGTTCAACAAATTCCAGCTTCAATGCCTCTTGGCAGGCAGGATAGTTGTCATCACGGGTCCAAACTTCTCTGGGAAAAGCATTTACGTCAAGCAGGTTTGTATACCAAGTTGTTCTCGCTATTTTTTAAAGAAAGCATTTTCAAGATGGTTCTTCTGCAGGTTGCTCTCATTGTTTTTTTGGCCCATGTGGGAAGTTTTGTACCTGCTGAAAGCGCAATCATTGGTCTCACGGACAGGTACGAGAAAGTCGAGCCGTTGCCAGTCTTATCTATCATCACTTTCGGCAAGTTTTTTTGCAGAATCTTTACAAGGGCTGGCAATTGTGAATCTGGGTCTAGCAAGCAGTCGTCGTTTTCAAGCGATCTGAAACAAGTATCGAGAATGATCAGCCTTGCAACATCACGTTCTCTTTGCGTTGTGGATGAGTTTGGAAAGGGAACTTTAGTTGCAGGTACAGTTGCCCACTTGGTAACCTTTATCTTACAGTCCAGCTTTGCAACGGCACGACCTTTTCTTTCCTTCTTATTTGTGCAGATGGTGTAGGTCTCCTTTGCTCCACACTTGGGTTCATGGCAGCTCAACCGATTCCACCCAAGCTACTGGTTTGCACCCACTTCAGCGAAATCATGAATCAAAACCTCCTGAATCCTGTAAGCTCCGTATGTAACTTCTCAGCTTGCCATTCAGCTCCACTAATTCGTCTTGCCTTGGCTTTGTGAGCAGTCTGCACAAATTACATTCTGCACCATGGCTATATTGGAGCAACCTGAAACTGTTGAAGGGTCAAACGAAATCACATTTCTGTACCGGTATGATGTTTTGTTACAGCGATGCAAGTATGCAACGCCTTCTTACACATTTTGGTTGCCCCTATGTTTGCAGCCTTAAACCTGGCCGTAACCTAGACAGCCATGGAATACACTGTGCTCGTCTAGCAGGTGAGCTGATTAGATATTTGGTGTTGTCGTATATTGCTGAATACCAAGGAGTATCTCAAATTGTTATTTCAGGACTTCCTCCAGCCGTGCTTGAACGCTCTCGTGAAATCCAATCCAAGATTCAGGCGGGAATACCTGTTGAAAGGCTGTCTAATGCTCGCACATCTGGGAGGGATAAATGCTACAAGGTGGGACTCCTTATTTCGTCGTGGTATCTTGCATTATGGTAGCCTTGTTTGCTAACAAGATTTTTGTATATTCAGAACCTTGTGGACAGGCTACTCAGCTATGACTTCAACTCTGCAAATGCGAAGGACTTCATTTCAACATTGCCCCTTACAATCCAGGCCGAGCCGGTCTGAAATTCTTGCTACCGGTTCTTCACAGATTGTGTGGATACTGTACTTTGTCACTGAATGTGGATACCGGTTTTATGGCTGGAAAATAATGTTGATTCAGCTATTTTTTCTAACTAGCCCCCTATTCCATGTCTATGGACTGTCAGACAATTGGTGGGGTGTGTCGGTGTTGTTGGAGAAGCCAAGTAGCAAGAAAATAATCAGGATGGCAAGAGGCATGTGTCTACTGTTTTGGATTTCTATTGTATTTAGTTCCCATTCACCTGTTCTTACCGAGGTTACACTCGTCGAGGGATGTCAGAAAATGAGTGGGTGAAGCGTGGATTGTGTGGTTGGGCGCTGGTGAAGCTTGACACAAGATTCACCCACACATGTCTCACCCCAACAGGCTGCAGCCACGTTTCGGAATCCCGCTGGCTATGGAGTATCACAGAATGGTTCGGGTAAAAATCCCGGTTGTCCCGCCAACGTTCCCCCGAGGCAGCAGATGAAATTCAATGGTCACTGGGCAGGGGTGAGTGCTGTGCCGAAAACTACTTGTACCGCAAATACTTCAGCCTCCCTATGTTCTAGCCCACACCAGACCATTGACGTAGTTTTGTTGAGGACATTACTTAGTATTGTTGCCGGTGGCATTGTAACAACAAGCGGTCTGAATGATTCTCAGTAACCAGCAGTGTAAGGTCCGAGGCAAATTGGGTGGTTTGGGATGTCTAGGTCCCGGGTGTGAAATTATTGTTACAGTTAAATAGCACAGTAATTCTGACAGCTGTATCCTTTCTGTCCTGTCCTGTCTTCCTGCCAGGAACTGTACGATCGGGGTTCCGCAAAACTCAGGACTAGGAAAGTCCTCTTTTTCGGTTGGTGTGGTGGCTGGAGTGATGCTCGCTGCCCGCCCGTCGTGTGTCGGTGCGATGTAGCTTGCGCATATGTGTGTTTGCGGTGGAGGAAAGCGGGAGTGTAACGCTTGGACTCTTGGAGGGAGATTCACAAGTTACAAATCACACAACCGCTTTCTTTCTTTCTTTCCCTCTTCTCCCCTCCTCCATTCACCTCACCCCCCTCTCCCCCCCCTCCCTTCCAAAACCAACCCCCTCTCGTGTTTCACTTCTTGTGCGTTCATGTGTAACTGCTGTGCTTGACTTGCTTGCTGCTATGCTGCAGCAGATGTGGTGGGGTGGTGGGGTTGTGTAGATAGTGTTTCTGACCATAAATTACACGAGTGATAGCTAGCTTCGTTTTCACTGTTGAAGGTGTAACCCCACCAAACCGAAGAACCCGCAGTTTTATCTTTGCTTGTTTCCGAACCTGTTTTCGCCGTCCTTTCAAGTTCCTCCTTCGGTAGTCCAAACCTACAATGGAGGCATGGTGCTGTCAGACCAGGTGGTTTGATCGATCCCTTCCTGGACAGTGCAGTTGGCACACCAATTAGTAGGAGCAGCAGTGAGTGTGACCCAGTTGATACCGAGCTCTCCTCGCAAATTGTTGGGACGATTTTCGCCAATCAAAATTACTGTTCAGGCGAGGACGATAGCGGTGACAACTTCGCAAACAAATTTACAGCCCGTCCGAAACAGTCAGCGAACGAGTTCTGACGTAGCATTCCAGATCTGGTTACACTCGCGACTTTTTCATACTTAGCGACCCGCTACCACCGATTTCGACACCACCCTGGCTCGCGAGCCAGTCACCTTTCTCTCCCCTTGCAACCTTCCTAACTTTGAAACTCTTGGACCTCCGGTTTTAAGTACAGTACGTTATCTTCTAGCTTAGACTCGCTGCAACAGCAGCATCAGCAACAGCAGCAGCTCGAAACAAATACAGTGGAAACTCCTGCACATTCGAGCTTTTCCCTCAGCCGTAGTTTTTCAAACACGTATTGTTGATACGACTTGATCTTCCTTTGGTCAAGTTTCAGAACCTTAGCGTCGAGCGAAACGGTTTGTGTTTCACACAAAGGTGACACACCTCTAACCCTAACATGCGTATAGGAATTTTACGTGAGCCGAGCGGCGGGTCACTAACAGAACTGACTGCATGCGAATCCACGGATGGAAGCCGGATCGCTGGCTCGTTATCGGGGTGTTCTTTATCGGGGTGCTCGAGCTCGCGAGACGAAGACGAGCAATTTCCCGTCGTGCTTAGCTCGTCAATGCTCCAGGAAAGTGAACAAGGAACGAGCAGAGAGAGCGACGATGGCGAAAGCGACATCAGCGGGACAACCAGCGAAGACCGCGACGTGTCGTCGCCGCTTCGCCAGCTCTTGTCGCCAGTGCGGGCTGGCACGGGGAGAGGGGTAGCGGTTCTGTCAGCCCAGCAGCAGCAGCAGGGTAATTCCTTTTGGTCTTCCCCGCTCACACTCACACCCGCATCCGCATCTGCATGCGCATCTGCTTCGGCAGCTGCATCCGCATGTGCCTCCGCGTCCCTATCAGCAGCAGCAGCGCTTCTAGAATCTGGTGGCATCTCCCCCAAGCGAAGGATCGCGCACAAGGCGGGTGCTGGGAAGCTCCTCGGTCCCGCTGCTTCCGCCGCGAAGAAAGGCGATTTCCGCGGCGCTGGGCGGGGGGGGATGGGAACTCCGCGGGCGGCGTCCCTAGGGCTTGCGCGGACAATCTTAGAGGAGGAGGAGGGGGACCTAGTTGACAGCGAGACGAGCTCCGAGATTGCCGACGCTGTTCCGCGCTCGCCTCTGCGCGTGTTTCCGACCAGCAGCAGCATGAGCCGCGTGGACGAGCGGACTGGCGGAGGGGCCGGGGGCGGCGGCGGCGGCGGGCTTGCGCTCCTGAGCGTGTGGGCGGAACTAGGCTCGGCGTTTTCCGGGGGTCAATCCCGCCACCAGCAGCAGCAGCAGCATCAGCAACAGAGTCTGCTCCAGCAGCAGCAGGAGCAGCAACAGCAGCTTGAGCAGCAGCTGTTGCAGCAGCATCAGCCGTCTCAGCAACCGGAAAGCCATCAGCAACCGGCGCTACAGGCGCAACCGTTGATGCGCATGGACCGACAGGATACTGCACCCGCGCATCGATCCAGTGATAGTTCCGCCACGTATGGCGCGGGTATGGCGGAACCGGCCCACGTTTCCGCAATCCACCCGCTCAGGCACTCAACCGACGGGGCGATGGGCGGAGCCGGGGGTGGCGCGCGGCATTCTCCGCCCAAGGCCGCGGCGCCGGGCGGAGGGGGGGCGGCGGAAGCAGGTTCCCCGAGGGCGGATTCAGTCAGGCGGGCGGAACTTTCGGAGTCGGGTTCAGGCCCGCGCACGGCGCCCGGATGCCTGTGCGAGCTACACCCCTTGCGGAAAGCGCCCGCGCAAGCGGCCCAACCGCAGCAGGAGCGCCAACAGCAGCACCATCAGCAGCAACAGCATCAGCATCACAACCAGCAGCAACAGCAGCAGCAGCAGAATGGGGGTTGCGACGATGACGACTATCCCGCGAGCCCTACCGCGTCCCCACGCGCCGCCGACATGAGCCCGCCGGGAAGCCCGAACGCGACGTTAGGAGGCGTTTCGTCCTACTTCTGCGGGCTGCCCAGCGGGTGCATCCTGGGGAGGTCGCACCCGCGGCAGGTGTGCGCGCTGTGCGCGCGGAGAGTGGGCGGAAGCAACCCCGTGCGCTGCCCCAAGTGCCGCCAGGCTGTGTACTGCAACGACAAGTGCTTGAACAGGCATCAGCCCGCGCACAGCCAGACATGCGCGGTAAGGAAGGAGATGTATTCCGTTTTTTCCTTTCTGTTGAGGCGCCTCAGATGGAGATTCAATCCGCTCGAGTCCTGGCCGTGTATTTCTGTGCTTTCCTGCTTCCTACTCCCTTCCTGTCGCTGTCATCATCGTAGTTCCCGTCGCTATCATTGCAGCTGTCGTTGCCACTGCCACTGCCACTGCCACTGTCTTTCATAACGCATTCTCTCCCTACCCTTCTGTATCCTTCCCTTCGTCTCTCCCTTACCTCTAACCCCCCCACCCCCTTATCCTCCCCTCCCGTTCCTCTATTTCTTTCCCTCTCTCTCCTTCCTTCCCCACCCCCCCCTTTCCCTCTCCCCTCTTCCCATTCTCTCTACCTATCTTCTCCCCACGCGCATCTCCTTCCCTCCCCACCTCCCCCGTTTCAGGCTGCTAGTCCCGCCTGGGTGCGCAGAGGCTCAAGCCGCGACCACGAGGCAGCACAAGCACACGCGCGGTCATCATCACAACAAGCACCAGCATCAGCCTCCGGGCCTGCCCCTCCTACCTCCACCTCCTCCTCCTCTGCTGCTGCCAACGCTGCTCCGTCCTCCGCCTCCTCCTCTGCCTTCTCCTCCTCTTTTACAACGGCAGCCGCCCCCACTGCCCCTCCTATACCTGCAGAGCAGCGAATGGATACCGCGAGTTTCCTAGATGTGGCCAGTCAATCTGATGCGAGCGGCTTACCCCGAGTCGCTTCCTCAGATCCCCCTGCTGTTAATACTACTGCCGCTGCTGCTGTTCCTGCTCCTGCTGCGCCGGCTGACCTTCCTGTTGCTGCTGGCAGGTACGCCGATCATGAGTTAGTGGAAGGAGGGGCGAAGCCAACCCAATAGAACTAGTCGGGTGTAAGGGGGGCGAGGGTGGAACAGGGATTGGTCGCTGGCAGGGACGGGGGAGGGTAGACCTTGTGGGTAGGAAGTTAGGAACATAGGACCTCGTGGGAGGGTTTAGTAGTACTGGGCGGGCTGACTGACTGACTGACACACTGTTTTGCGGAGTGAAACACTCGTCTTTCCCATTGTGCCTCAGAACAGAACACATTCCGTACATCACAGAACGCTCTTCCTGCTAATGTCGCGCGAGTTCTCATCTCTCCTGATGCCAATTTAGAACGCTGTTCAGCGCGAATTCAGAGCGAATTCGGCACGAATCACGTGTTCCTCCAATGTTGCAGAGATGTTTCGTAGCCTAGCTATGTTGAAATCGCTTTTGGGAATTCTCAAAGGCGATTCCTCCAATGCTGCAGCGATCTTCCATTGTCTAGCCACCTTGCTAGTTCTACATGCCTCCGTCCCTGTGTTCTCCCCTTCCCCTTGTCTGATTCGCCCCTTGTATTCGTCTTCCTCTCTTCCCGTCCTGCTCGAGGAATGAGACGGTTTTGTGGCGCCGCAAAAATCGCTTTTCGGGATTAAGCTCATTCCTGTCCCGGCTGTCCGTGTGTTACTTACCTCTCCATATCCAATCCCTGCTATGTCTTCCTCTTCTCCCACCTTATTCTTATCCTCCTCCTTTCCTCTCCTCCTCTTCCCCATCACCATCACCATCACCAGCAGCTCAGCGTTGCCAGCAACATCTATGGCCCCTCCCATCTCGCCTTCCCTTGTGCCCAAGTCCCCTAGGCCGCTGTTCTTCCTCTCGCCCAGACTAGCACCAACCGGTGGAAAGGGGGAAGCAGCAGCAGCAGCAGCAGCGCCAGCTGCAACAGGAGGAAGTGGAGGAGGGGGAGGAGGGGGAGCAGGCGCAGCAGTAGCTAAAGTGAGTACAGAGGCAAGGGGTGATGCCAACAGCAAGGGGAAGGAGGGGGAGGGGGACAAGCAGGGGCAGGCGAACGGGCAGGGAAACGGGCAGGTGAACGGGCAGGGAGAGGGAGAAGCAGCGGTTGGAGCAGGGAGGGAGGAGGCAGATGCAGGGTCGCAGGTGTGGCAGTCGTCAGGCATTGACCCGTGCCTTGTGGGCGCTGCATGAGTGTTCTTGGTGGTGGGGGTGGGGGTGGTGCGGGTGGTGGTGGTGGTGAATCGATGCTCGCACCACGTTCTTGTATGGCTGGTGGTTGGCCGTAGAGATGCCACAGGACGGATGGAGAATGCCGCATGGCAAGTCGCCAAAGGCGTTTCTGCGTGTAACATTGAGGGGGAGGGAGAGGGGGGGGAGGGGGGAGGGGGGAGGGGGGAGGGGATAGCATGGCACAGCTTGAGGATGGCGGCAGCCCAGGGAGGACGGAGAGTGCATTGAAGAAGATACACCAATGATTTCCTGATACACACACAGCTCCCCCCATACCGCTCCCATACGCACACACCCTCCCCATACACACATGGCCTCCACGTTACCATACTCTGCCAAGCCCTGTTTGGCTTCCCTCTCCACACATGCATATACCATACCATACCATACCATACCATACCATACCATACCATACCATACCATACCATGCCATGCCATGCCATGCCATGCCATGCCATGCCATGCCATGCCATGCCATGCCATACTGTACCGTACCGTACCGTGTCATACCATACCATGCCAGGCCATACCGCACTGTACCGTACCATACCGTACCATTCCATACCATACCGTACCATGCCATGCCATGCCAGGCCATACCGGACTGTACCGTACCATACCGGACCATTCCATACCATACCGTACCATACCACACCAGTGTGCATTGCATGTCGCTCTCGACTTGTGCAAGGCCGCAACTTGCCCATGCGCCATGCACAATGGGGGCACATGGGGCCCATGGGCCGCCATGGCCCACACGCCATGATCATCCATGGACCATGGGCACACACTCCGGAAGCGAAGCTTGCGTGTCCAAGCCGTGCCGCCCTTCCATGTCCCGTCTTGCAGCCACCCTCTGCTCCACCCTTCCTTTGGCATCAAGCCAGGCCAGGGAGTTTTCCAATCCATCAACCAATCTTTTGACTGGGGACTAGGCACTCCTTGTGCAATTTGGGATCCACGCAGGCAGGCAACTCAATAACCTCTGAAACTTACTCCCTTGCTGCTGTGGGGTCACAGACAGCTGTGATTTCGCAGGGGAGAAGTGGGTCTCTGTCGCTGATTTCGGGGAGAAAGGGTTGGAGAAGTTGGAGAGGAGGGAGAGCGGGGTTAGCTGGGTTTGTCCCCGCTGGGTTTGCTTCTGCTGGGTTGGGCATGTATGGAAAGACTGGGCTGTTTTGTTCTGCCTGCCAGTGCATCGCCATGAGAAGACGGTTTGGTTTTTTTCTTCAACAATGAAGAGTTTTCTTCACGAGTGGGAAGGTTTGACTTCTGACATTGAACATAACCTGTCGCTGTCTGTGGCTGCTAAATCAAAGTAGCTGCTAGAAGTGTGCGTGTTTGTGTCTGAAACTGACTTGTGTTCTGAGTGCGGGTGTCTGGGACTGTGGTGTGAGTCTTCTGTTGAGTAATGTTCCAGACTCTTTGTTTTGCTCATCTAAGCATTTATTTTTCTGAGCTGTGATGGAAAAGAGAACTATGACTAGCTGGCCTGATGCATACCCCAGTAAAGGTTCCCTGATGTTATGAGTGCAATTGAGTGATCGAACTAGAATTGCACTATCGAAGCAAGAGTACAATGAGCGAAGGCATGAGCGAAGAGTATATAGCTAAACTAGAGTGGTAACGGTAATGCGTGAAAATGGGGTGTGCGATGGGTCTGGCGCCAAGGTTGTGTTGGAATAAGCAGGCAGGAATGATGGACTAGGTAGCATGCATGAGTACAAGTACCTAACCCTAAAGTGATGAACCCCTTGTAGGCTAACCCATTATAGCCTAGAGATAACACAAACATACAGTTTGACACACCCCCATAGGCTAAATGGGAGATAGCAAACACAACAGACGGTCACAAGACCAGTCAAGCAAGAGAACAAGCAAAGCAAAGCAAAGCTCAGGGTGGATCTCAAGGACACCACACAATCTGAGCACAACCAAGCGGCCACAAGGCCAGTTCACATGCAGGGTTATAATAGCAAGGCACTGATCACAATCTAGCAAGAGTACACAAGCAGGTATAAAGACATACATCAGTGTATAACAAGAGCAAGTCAAGCAACCAGCAGGTGAGGCAGAGTGGGCACAAGCCCAAGAGCAGTGCAAAAACGCTGATGATCACCAGCCCCAAGAGCCTTGGTGAAGACATCAGCAGTGTTGGCCCGAGAGGCCACAAAAGCAAGGCGCAGCTGACCACGCTGCTGCAGCTCACGCGCAAGGAAGTAGCGAAGAGCAATGTGCTTCGTTCGGTGCTCCAGTCTCTGCTCGCGACACAAGGTGTCGTCGATGTACAGAACTGGAGGAGAACGAGGCCACTCCCCCAAGTCGGTCAACAGGTAGGTCAGCAAGCGGAGCTCCTGTGCAGCCATGGCCCCAGCGTAGATCTCGGCCTCACAGCTCGAACCAAGCACAGAAGAAGAGCGAGTGGACCTCCACGAGACAGAACCAGCGCCAAGACTGAAGGTGTAGCCCTGTGACGAACGCTGAGTCGCCTAGTCGTCGGCCCAAGAAGCGTCAGAGTGTCATGTGAGGACCACTGAACCCCGTCCTCCAAGCACGAGCCCCATGTCCGATGTGCTGCACAAGTAACGCAGTACCCTCTTTGCAGCATCAAAGTGCATCTTTCGGTGTCGACCAGGTGCCACGTATCGAGCCAGAAGGCTAAGAGGGTACGCAAGGTCAGGACGAATGCACGTCATCAGGTACATGAGGCATCCCACTAGCTCTAGGTACGGACCACTCGGCTCTACGGGCTCGTCCGAAGGTGGAGCTGAGAGCGAGTGGCCGGTAGCCAGAGGAGTGGGCTGTGGCGAGGAGTACGTGAAGCGGAAGCGCTGAAGGACCTGGTGCACCATGTGTGACTGAGTCAGGGTGATGGTGCGCCGTGCTCTGTCCCGAGTGATCTGCAAGCCAAGATAGCTCCGCAGCTCACCCAGGTCAGTGCAGGTGTGTCTCTCCTGCAGCTCCGCCTTCACTAGGGCAAGTGCCTCAGTGTCAGCAGTAGCAAAAACCAAGTCGTCGACGTACACGAGGATATAGAACGGCGGCAGAGTAGTGTCGGTGCGTAGAAACAGCGACGGGTCAGCAGTCGAAGGAGCAAACCCAAGAGCCGCAAGTGTCGTCCTCAGTGTGTCGTGCCACTCGCGGGGCGCCTGACGCAGGCCGTACACTGGTCGCCGTAGGCTCCACTGGGTACCCTCGGGAAACGACCCAAAAAAGCCCTGTGGACGGCGCAACCAGATGGCCTCATGAAGGCTACCCTGCAAGAAAGCTGTCGAGAAGTCGAGGGAGTGCAGTTCGTAGTCACGCTGAGCTGCAACGTGTAGCAACACCCGAAGAGTGGTCACTTGGAGCATGGCAACTTGGAACCAAGCCTACATACCTCTCCGCCAGCAAGCTCCGCGCATGTACAGGCATGCAACAGTCACTTGGACGATCCGGAGCAGGTTTCAGGATTGCAGAAAGGGACGGGTCCTATGTGGCATGTCGTGGGCTATGAGATGCTGACAGCTGTGGTTAGATACACAGTCAGCAAGGCTGCGGTTGGGATAGCGCCCGGTGGGGTGGGTGAAGGGGAGGGGCGAGGTGGTGTGGGCGAGGGCGACAAAGAGGAGGAGGAGGAGAAAAGGTTTGGAAGGGCGGGCATGAGTGGGGATCGGAAGAGGAGAGGAGTGAGGAGTGCAAGAGGGGCAAAGAGAGGGAGAGGGAGAGGAAGAGTGGGAGGTGGAGGAGTAGATTTGAATGGAGTGAAGGTAGAGGGTGATGGGATGGGTGGGGAGGGGT